AGGCGGCAGAACCACTGAGCTAAATCCCCGGCCCTAACCCTTTTTATTTTTATGTTGAGACAGGGTTTTATTGAGTTGCCCAGACTGACCTTGAATTTACAATCCTCCTTCTTCAGCCTCCTGAGTAGCTGGAATTATAGGCAGGTGCCATTATGCCTGGCTAAGATGAACATTTATTTATTCAGCACTTTCTCTGAGCGAAGCACTTTTTAGATATATATGTTCATTTATCTTAACTTAGCTTTATAACATACTGTGAGGTATAGATATGGAGTCTCAGAAGTTAAGTAACTTTTCCAGAGTCACATTACTAGATAATGACAGAGCACATTTTGAACCTGGTCTGTGTGCTCTTTGACATCACCTAGACTTTGGAATCTCTGTTACAAGTCTGGTTTAAACAACTCTGTTCTCTTCTTCCCACTTCTAAGCTGCTTCATCCTTCATACGACTAACCCTGGAGCTCAAGGCCAGATTCTGCAGTGGCCCAAGGTATGTATGGTCCTAGGCAAGGGGCCAGGGTCCTTTTTAACTGGAAGAGTAGAAGCTTCTGGTTGGTGGTTTAGTGCTGGCATCTTGTGGAGGGGGGTGGTCTCAGCATTGCTCAGCAACTGGTGTATGAGCTGCAGGTGCTTCTGTAGGCTGTATTTCTTTTTTTCTTTCTTTTTTTTTTGTACCAGGGATAGAACTCGGGTCCCTGCGCTTGTGAGGCAGGCACCAGAACCACCTGAGCTAAATCCCCGGCAGTAGGCTATATTTCATCTGGTCTGGTAAGGCTTTCATTCCTGGTAATGTGTGATGGACACCTGTCATGTCAAAACTGGAATGATAGGCCAAGGATTTAGCTCAGTGGTTCTGCCTCCTGCCACGCGAGCACAAGGTCCCAAGTTTGATACCTGGTACCAAACAAACAAACAAATAGAAAAAAAACCCCAAAACCCCAAACTGGAATGATTCTCAGACATCATTTTTCTAACTTCTCATTCAAGTGGGGAAACAGGCCCTCAGAATGTAAGTGATGCAATGTCCATCAAGTTCCAGTTGCTACCAGCCCAGAAATTCCAGAGGAAAAACTCTTGATCAAAGTGGAGAGGTTGCTGCCTCAGTTTCTTGTCATTTTTCTAGAGCAGCCTCCTGTACTCTCCCATTCATGATTTGCAACCTGTCTCTGTGTTTATTAGGAACATTTATTTGTTACAGTTCACAGCCCTTATGGTGACTAAAGTGTCACGTCTAGCTCTCTTTCCATAGCTCTGAATAGAACACTCAACCTATAGGAGAGAATTAAGGAATCCATATGGATTCAAGGTAAAAAATTTTGGAAGTTTGCAGAACTCATGAGTATTCACCTCATGTTCAATAGCTTCCTGTTTTGCTAGTCATCCCCAACCCTTTCCTAGCCCCAAGGCACTTTTTTTATTTGTATATTTTATTAAATTGGACCTGAGTAGCCCTCCTTGATTTTTTTCAATATATTTTTAGTCATTGCCTATATGGGCAAAGTACCTATGTTACAGCTGTGGGCAAGAGATTCAATATTTACTTTTCATAGTAGGACCTCCTATGTTATTTGTTTGTTTGTTTGTTTATTTATTTATTTATTTATTTTTGGTACCGGGGATTGAATTCGGGACCTTGTGCTTGCAAGGCAGGCACTGGAACCACTGAACTAAATCCCTGGCCCAAGACCTCCTACTTTCAAGAGTAGGGCCCTCCTCTTCCATGGCCGTGGTTAGAATTTTCCTGGGCTCTACCACAAAGCAAGAGTATCCAGATACACAGCAAAGATTATGCCATGTCTGAGCTAAAGTAGCAAAGTTGTCTCTTTTGTTCTCTCTTTTCTCCAAGTCACTCAGCCCTAAACCAGGTGTGTTCCAGTTTCCTCTACTACATGTGCTTCAGTCTCCTCTCAGCTTCAGAGAAGACAGGACTGCTTTCCTCAGAAGGTGAGATGCTGTGGTTTGACACCCACCCCCTTGAGGTTTGTGGCAGTCTGTACAGTCTGGATGTGTTGTTGATTGGCAGTATTGTACATCAGATAGTAATAATAGCTCTCTGCTTGAAGCTGCCCAGAGGAACCATGGAATCATGGAATGGTAGAATTATTAGACCAATTCCTAGGGAGGTGAAATAATAGAATCAGAAAACAAAGGACTCCAAGGCTCCTGGGACCATGGACTCTGAAGGCTGAGAGGATCCTAAGTTCTTCAAGACCAATTCCTCATTCCCAGGTCTTTCTTCTTTTTTTTGTACCAGGGATTGAACTCGGAACATTCCGCTTTTGAGGCAGGCAGCAGAACCACTGAGCTAAATCCCTGCCCCCCCAGCTCTTTCTTCTGTAGCATCTCCACAGCAGGCTCCTTTTCTCTGCCTGTTTTCCTCTACAGCCCAGTCCTTACTATAGCATGAACAGTCTGTTCTGTTTTCTGTGTCATTTGTGATCTGTGTATGTGTGTGGTACTGGGGATTGAACATAGGCCCTTGTGGATGCTAGACAAGTGTTCTACCTCTGAGCTACATCCACAGCCCTTTTTTTCATTTATTTAATTTTTCTTTGAGACAGGGTTTCAGAGTGTCCCACGTTGGTCTCAAACTTATGATCCTCCTGTGTCAGCCTCCTGAGTAGCTGGGATTACCAGTGTGTACCACCACACTTGGGCTTGAAATGGTTTTTCTTTTCTTTTCTTTCTTTCTTTAGTACTGGGAATCCCTCCTAGAGTCTTGTGTATGCTAGGCAACCACTTTACCATTTACCACTGAGTCACACCTCCATCCCTCATAAAGTATTTCTTGAGTATCTGACAAAAGAGCTAGGGAAACAGAGCCCTGCTTTCCATGGAGTGAGAGAGGAAGGTAAGTACACAATAGATATAATATTGAGGATGGATAATAAGGAACTATGAAAAAATAAAAGTGGGCAAGGGGCAGAGAGTGATGGAGGGAGGAGGCCCATGCTGGGTAGGGGAGGCCCATGTGAAGAGGTGCCTCTGAGGAGGGGTCTCAGTGAAGTAGGGGTCTCAGTGATGCAGGAATCCAGGCAGGAGGAACAGCAGGTACAGGCTTTAGAGCTGGAAGTTTTCCCTTGTTTTTCTTTTTTTGTTTTGGCGGTACTGGAGATGGAATCTACACACCCAGTTATGTTTTACTTTGAGACTGGGTCATACTGGGTCACTGAGTTGTCCAGGTTGGTTAGAACTTGTAGTTTTTCTGCCTCAGTCTCCAGGATGCTGGGATTACAGGTGCGCACTACTATACCTGGCTAAAGTTTTCCTTTTCGTTGAATATTCATTGAGTTTCTGTCACATGCCAGGAGAGGCTCAGGTACAGCTGTGGATTCAACAATGAGATGGTTCCAACATCTTCTCTGCCCTATGGAGTTCCTCTACCCTAGACTTCCTTTGTTATAACATCATTCACTCAAATTGTATACCTTCTTTGGAGATTAGACTTGGTGCTGTCCTTTTTATATTTATAAAGACTCTGAGTCATTTCTCCACTCCCAAAACCACCCTCTCTTGTTTTTCTGTGCTGAGACAGGAGCCAAGGCAAGCATTTCCATTACTCTCAACAAGTTTGGCTCCTGGTTCTCTCACTCCATCGGCCACTGGTGGCTGCACTGTCTCCAGCAGTCTGCCTGTCAGGTGTGGTCTGGCCTGGAGAGAGAAGAGCACAACTCTGCCAAGGAAGCCTGAGACCAGGCCGGCAGCTGTAGCATAGTTGCCCCTCGTGCTCACCAGAGCCAGTTCCACAGCTGCTGGCAGCTCTCTTGTCAAACCAGAGGAACCTTTAGCTCTGCCCTTCTGTACATAAATCTTGCCACATTACAGAGCTCTAGAAAGAGCAGCAGACCTCACTTCGATGCACATGACTTCTTTCTTACATTACCAGGAGGAAGGGCAGTGAATGTGCAAGGTATAAGGATATTTGCTTCATTATTATCATATTTCTTGTGGTGTTCTTTGGTGAAAAAAAGACCTGAGCTGGCTCTGCTACCAAATTGCTGTGGCACATTCCCCCTCCTCACCCTCCATTTGCTCAGGACTTGGGTCTAGGTCAGCTGCCTTGGCAGGAGGGACCCTTTTGGTTGACCTCCAGCTCACATCCTTACTTCTAGTCTGGTCTTCCAGCCTCTCCACTTGTTGGAAGGATATATCTGAAAACCAGATTTTAGCATCTTAACTCCCCTGGACTTCCACCATGGCCCCACACATCTGTCTGTGGAGCAGAATTTTCTCGGATCCATAGTGAAATGTGGAAAACAAAGGTAATGTAGTGAATTTTCCAAAAAGCTGACTTAATTCAAATTTAAAATTTTAAGATCCTATTCTATTTGATATTAAAATACTCCTTTTAGAAAGTAGAGGTTTTATGAGAAATCTAGGAGTCTTTGCCCTCAGGATAAAATCGAAGTTCTCTAAGCAGCATTTGAAGTCTTTTATAGTCTAGCTACAAATTACATCACACATTTCTGCAGCTCCTGACACCCCACATCTCTTCACTGGCTGTCCAGTCACCCCGAATGGAAACGTAATGTGTCCTCTCATGCCTGCAAGCATCTCAACACCTTGCTCCCTGTCTCTTGGATTCACTTCCCTCCATTCTTTGTTTTCTGCTCACCCTCCACAGTGCCATCCTTTTTGAGTTTGACCTCCTCATCCCAGGCAGCTAAAGTCACTTCCCTCCTCCACCCTGGAGCATGGCACAGACTACATGTGCTGCAATTATTCATCTCATTATCTATTTCTTCCCACCAGCTTCTGGAGGTAGGACTTGGGTTTCACAGCCTGGCTTAAAGTGGGCCCTCAGTGAACATATGTCAAATGAATAAATGAATGTTTTTGAGATATATCCATATCCTTCCACATGTTAACTCTCATCTCTCCTAGTAAGCTGAACCCTGCATCAAGGAAAAGGAAACTGATTTCCTCTATAGTGCATATGCCCTTGTGCCCTGAGTAGTACTCTGCACACAGTATTTCTCAAGTGCTCATTACCTGCTCTCCTGTGTATGGCCTTCTGCTGCCTGTTTCCTCCTAGAACTCACTGCAGTATCTGAGCTCCTCCAGGAGGGGCTGCCCCAGATAAACAGCAGGGTCCCGGAAAGCCTTGCCTTCCTGTCTGATTGCCAGTATGTGGAGGGAGCTGCTCGCCAGAAACAGTACTGCATCCTGCTCCTCTTCTACCTGGCTTACATTCACGAGGACAGGTCAGTGCCCAGACCTGACGGCTGGTGGTGAGTCCTGGGACACTCATCTATGTCTAGTTCAGGTCAATGGGTACTTTTGTTTGTATCAAACTCCGAGTGCCTCAGCCTCCAGGTGCTCAGTTCAGTGAATATTTACAGAGGCATCCTCTCTAAGCTTGGGCCTGGGCATTGGAGCACAGAGATAGTGCAAATGGATTGTATTCCTGAGAGGCTAATGTCCTGGAAAGGGGTTAAGACTGGCCAGTAGACACCATGCTCAGAGACAGAGCCCTAGAATGCTAGTACATATTCTTTGTTATCCTCAAGGGTGTTACCTGTGCATAGAAAACAACTTTGATGGTTTACTTTTTTTTTTTTTTGTACCAGGGATCGAACTCAGGTCCTTGCTCTTGCAGAGCAGGCAGCAAAACCACTGAGCTAAATCCCCGGCCCTGATGGTTTACTTTTGTTTTAAGAATTACTATATAATTTGTTGAACATTCAAAATCAAGAGGCTAGTCTTTCTTACTTTCTTTTTTTTTTTTTGGTACCGGGGTTTGAACTTGGGTCCTTCCGTGTGCAAGGCAGACGGCGAAACCACTGAGCTAGATCCCCGGGCCGAGGCTGGTCTTTCTTAAGCTTTTAAGAAGATAATTTATCCAGGTGAAATTTATACAACATAAAATTAGCCACTTCAGGGCCAGGGATTTAGCTCAGTGGTTTTGCCGACTGCTGCGTAAGCACAAGGACCCGCATTTGATCCCCGATACCAAAAAAAAAAAAAAAATTAGCCACTTCAAAGAGAATAATTCAGTGGCATATAGCACACTCACAGTATTGTGTAAGCACAACCTCCATCAAGTTCCAGAACATTTCCACCACTCCAAAGTAAAACTGGTATTACCATTTAAGTTAAAGTGACAGCACATACCACTAGTCTCAGCATGAGGGACGCTGAGGTGGGGGAATCACTTGAGCCTCAAGAGTTTAAGACCAGTCTGGGCAACAGTGAGACACATCTAAAAAAAAAAGCCCTCCTTACTGCCTTGCATGTATAATAATACTTTCCCACCTCCCACCATAGAAAGTATCCCACTGAACACACCACTGTTTAATCACAAATATGAGAAGAAAGAGGTAGACAGGCTGCCTAAACAGAGCCTTCCTCACCCCACACAAGTAGCACCTTTCTCATTAACAGTGCTGGTCCAGTGGGAAGATAGCTCACCTCCCACGTATGAGCAAGGAGTCTTTGGCCCCTAACAGAGCCTGGCACAAAGCATAGAACCATGTGATCTATAAGAACAGAAATGCTTTGAAAGTATTTGTCCATGATATTGATGGGCATGCTGGAGCAGGACAGTGGGCTGAAGGAGTACACTGCCAGCAGGACAGGAAAGTCCACTGGCCTGCTAGCTCTGTCTTTCTCACTCAGGCCCTCCTTGGTCAACAGGTTTGTCTTGGAGGCAGAGTTATTCGTTTCTGTGCAGTGCCTCCTCCTGTCTCTTCAGAACCAGGGTGAGCGACCCCCACCAATGGTCTTCAGAGCCTCCATCTACCTGCTTGCGATCTGCCAGGACAAGGACAGTGCACTGGATGAGGTAGGGACAGGAATGCCTGGGGCTCTCCCCATCCTGTACCGCATTACATGAATGTATTGGGAGACCATGATGACATATGTGTGGACAGTGGAGTGGCAGAGGGAGACACAGTGAGAAGTTAGGAGAATGGAGAGGAGGAGCATGCTGATGCCTACAGAGCCTTGGAGGTGGAGGTGATAATTTCTACTTTATAGATGAGAAAATGGAGATTAAGTGAAAGTAGCTTTCTGTAGGGCCCACAGTTAATTGGTTGGGATGGGGGTGCACCCAGGGCTCCACCTTAGAGTTTACTAACTCCCAAGCTCTGTTTTTTTTGGTACCGGGGATCGAACTCGGGTCCTTGTGCTTGCAAGGCAAGTGGCAGAACCACTGAGCTAAATCCCCGGCCTTCCCAAGCTCTTTTCTTGTCACCACCTCTGGTTTGTGTAGGAGGAGAGAGTGGTGAGGTATTATATACCCTTCTGCTAACAGTTTCTCAAGCAAAGTGAATTGTTAAACATTGTTAATAAGGCTGATCTTGGGTCATTTTTTTTTTTTGGTAGCGGTGATGGAACTTGGGACCTTGAGCTTGCAAGGCAGGCGGCTGAACCATAGAGCTAAATCCCTGGCCCAATCTTGGGTCATTTTAATGGTGATTGTTTATAAACTCCACCTTCTTTATAAATTCTTTTTTTTTGGTAGCGGGGATGGAACTTGGGTCCTTGAGCTTGTGCAGCAGGCAAGGAAACCACTGAGCTAAATCCCCGGCCCTTTATGAACTCTGGTGGATCAAGGTCAGTGTCTGATTTGTCACTGAATCCCTCCCTTATTTCACAGAAGATTGCATCTACTCCTTGGCTGTGGACCTTTCAGTCTCAACCTAGGCTATTCTTACCTCAGTGACTGTTACTTTTGCCTCTTTTGATTACTGTTGGGGCAAATGTGATGCAAGCAGACCCAGTTTAATTTGAACAGAAGTAGGAGCAAAGAGATGGCTTTCAATAAGACACACCAGGGTATCCAATATCCTTTTGCCTCTATTTATGTCATATTAACAGCCATTGGTGATTATTGGTAGATCCACTACTTCATTAGGAATTATCAAATGACAATATTATAATTCTGTCATTCTTTCTTCATTAATTAAGTGGAATACTTGTATAGAAAGAAGCTTCCCATTGGACGTAGTTAGTTGTCCATGCCTATAATCCCTGTTACTGTTAGGGGTTGAGGCAGGAGGATGGCTCAAGGCCAACCTAGGGAACTAAGCAAGACCCTTTCTCAAAATAAAGAATAAAAAGAGTTGGGAGTATAGCACCCCTGGGACACACACACACACAAAAACAGGAACAAAACAGCTGGGTATGGTGTCACATGCCTGCAGTCCCAGCACTTGGGAGGCTAAGATAGGATTTTCATGAGTTTGAGGCCAGCATGGGGTACATTGTGAGTTAAATGCCAGCCTGAACAACATAGTGAGACTCGGTCTCAAAAAGAAAGGGGGGGCCAAGGATTTAGCTCAGTGGTTTCACCGCCTGCTGCGCAAGCGCGAGGACCCAAGTTCGATCCCTGGTACCAAAACAAAACAAAACAAACAAAGCAAAACTTCCTTTCATCAACAATTCAGTTATTCTGGGCCAGGGATTTAGCTCAGTGGTTCCCCGCCTGCTTCGCAAGCTCAAGGTCCCGAGTTTGATCCCCGGTCCCGAAAAAAACAAAACAAAACAAAAAACCACAACAATTCAGTTATTCTGTAAGAAGTAGATTGTATGCTGCCTGCTGCTCAAGCGCAAGGACCGAAGTTCGATCCCCGGTACCAAAAAAAAAAAAGAAGTAGATTGTGTAGATTTTATAGATTAAATGTTTGATTCTGTTTTTTCATTTTATTTTTAACACTGCGGGTATAACTCAGGGCCTCACGTGTATTAAAAGCATACACTTTGCCTACCACTAAGCTGCACCCCCATTCAAGATTTGTTCCCTTTACTTAGATTTCTTAAAAAATGAGTTGATTTTTTTAGTATAATTCTGAACCCAAGAATTTAAAATATTTGATGTACTTTAATTATATCTAATTATATCATTTTGAGGCTTAAGTTGTCCCATCTTTGGGCAATGGTATCCTTACTCAAGGAGGTACCTATATCTTTTGGCACAACCCTACTACTTTTGATTGAGTTTTGGGTTTTCTAGGATGACAAGATCCTTCAGGCTTGTTTTATGTGTTTCCTGCTTTGCCATTCTTTTTTGAATGTATTTCAATTAGGCTTTCACTCCTACCACATCTTGGAAAAATGTGCTCATCAAAGTGACCAATGACCAACACATGAGTACCCAATATTTAGTCATCATTCTACTTGGCCTAGCAATAGCATCTCTTTTCTTTGAGCAATGGTTTTGTTTTGGGGGTTTTTTTTGTACTGGGGATCAAACTTGGGTCCTTCTGCTTTTGAGGCAGGCTGTGGAACCACTGAGCTAAATCCCCAGCCCCTCTTTTCTTTGAAACAGTCTTTACTTGGCATCTAGAACACCATGTATGTCACGTTTTCCTGCTGCCTCTCTAATCTTCTGTTTCAGTGTCCTTTGTTGATTGCCTCTTGCCTTCTGACCTTTTAAGTGTTGTAGGGCCCCATGGTGCACTTTTTTTGTTTTGTTTTGGGCATCAAACCTACAGCCTCACATGTGCGAAGCAAGCACTCTGTCACTAAGCTACAGCCCCAACCTGCCTTACCCTTTAAAAATAATTGAGACGGGATCTCACTAAGTTACCCAGGCTGGACTTAAATTTGTGGTCCTCCTGCCTCAGCTTCCAGAATAGCTGGGATTACAGGTGTCCACCACCATGTCCAGCAGAGTACAGTCTTTGACTGAATTCTGCATCTCTCTTCTGTCTAAATGTATTGCTCTGGTAATCTCATACAGCCCTACTTCTGGGGTGACAACCTGAATTAAACAAGTCATTCTGTTGGCTAGAATGATAGACTGAAAGAGTGCAAGGGTGGAAGTGGAAAGACCTGATAGGAGACTAGAGCAATGATGTAGGGAGGTGACAGGGGAGGTAATGGAAAGTGTCTACTTCAGAAATATTTTGAGATGCAGCCAATAGCATTTCTTGGATGGATCAGATGTGAGGTGAGAGAATAAGAGAGAATAAAAAGACGTTTCCAATGATTCTTGTTCTAATAGGGTGGAGACTTATTGGATTGCGATAGAAGAGCCAGGTATGGTGATTCATGCCTGTAATCCCAGCACTTGGGAGGCTGAGGCAGGAAAATCACCATGACCTCAAATGAGTTCAAAGACATAGTGATACCCTGTTTCAAAAAAAGAATGGGAAGCTGGCAAGAAAAGAGCATATCCCTAGCCACATAGGGATAATCCTGGGCTTCTGAGTAACTGATATAAACAGGGGGAAGGGCATGATAGGAACAGCCTCGATAACTTGAGGACTGATAATGTAGCAAGGCTGGATTTTGGGGGCCCCTTTTAACATCTATCTGTGGTGCTGTTGAGACTAGGAAGGTAGCTCATATAGCTCTGGGCTTCACCTTTTAGACATGAATCCATAAGTGTTATATAACATTGTTTTATAAAATTTGTATGTAAATTTTTAAGTGGCAACATACAATTTGATTTTTGTTTTATTTGTTTGAGACAGCATCTCATTATGTAGTTCAGGCTGGCCTTGAACTCACTGTGTAGTTAGGCTGGCCTCAAGTTCCCAATTTTCCTACCTCACCTTCCTGAGTGCTGAGATTGCAGATGTGTGCTACCACACCTGGCACAACTAGATTTTTCTACTCAACTTTATTTATTTATTTATTTATTTGGTACCGGGGATCGAACTTGGGACCTTGTGCTTGCGAGACAAGTGCCAGAACCCCTGGGCTAAATCCCCGGCCCAGCTCAACTTTATTTTGATATAATTTCACATTTAAAAATATTGTAAGAATAGTTCAGAGTTCTTACTACCCAAATTCACCAGTTTTTACAATTTTGCCTCATTTTATTTTCTCTCTTCCCCAAACATGGGATGCCATGTTTTTTTTTCTGAACCACTTGAAAATAATTTTCAGATGATTTTTAGATGTGCGCTTTTATACATTAAATACTTCAGTGTGTATTTCCTAAGGAATTTATTTTATGTAACCACAGTTCTGTGATCAAAATAGGGAGATTTTAAATTGGATACAATATTATTACCTAATCCATAGTTAATAGTCAAATTCCACTGTTTAAAATACCATGCTGGGTGTTCAAACCCAGAGGCTTGCACATGCTAGGCAAGTCCTCTGCCACTGATCTCCAGCCCCCAAATTTCAGTTTATACCAGCAGTATTCTCCCAGATCCTTCTCACAGTCCTTGATCTTCTGTAGAACCAGTGGAGAAGATGGGCTGGTGTGTATTGGGATGTGTGTGTATGTGAACCCATGGCAGTTGAATGTATCTCTGGGGGATAGATATTTTAGAGTATTCCTAGAAACACTTCCTTTTTGACAATTTCACTCTAGTTTAATCAGTTCAAGAATGCTACTCGATGATTATCATTTTTTTATTAGCTTTTTTTTTTCAGTACTGAGAACTGAACCCAAGGCCTTTGCACTAAGCTACATTCTTAACCTTTTTCGAGTTTTATTTATTTATTTATTTATTTATTTATTTATTTATTTATTGTTTTTTTGAGACAGTGTCTTGCTATGTAGTTCAGGCTGGCCTCAAACTCATGGCCATCCTCCTGCCTCAGCCTCCTGAGTGCTGGGATTACAGGCATGCACCACTATGCCCAACTGTCTTTTATTTTGAGACAGGATCTTATTAAGTCATTATGGTAAGTTGCCTAGGTTGGGCTTGAATCCTCCTGTCTCAGCCTCTCAGAATGATGGGATTACAGCCGTGTACCACCACACCCAGCCTTTATTTGTTTCTTAACATTTTAGCAACTCAATCAGCATGGATTGATACTTGACATGTTCTAGGTGCCATATGGGTCCCCATCAGTGTGAGATGAACCCAATAAGTTCCCTGCCCTCAGAGAATACAAGTTTGCCAGGTGATACAAAAAAGTTTCCTGCATGAGAGTTTACTTCAGCAGTGAGTACTGCAAAACAAACAAAAAAACAAAAAAGAGGATGGGAAATATAACTCAGTGAGAGAACACTTGTGTAGCATGCTTGAAGCCCTGGGTTCAGTCTCCATGACCACTGGGAAAGGAGAGGAAAGGAAAGGAAAGGGAGGGGAGGGGAGGGGAGGGAGAGAAAGACTTAATAGTGTTCAGTTGGCAATACTCCCTAAATTGACCTGTAGATTCAATGCAATCCATATCAAAATCCCAGCTGCTCTTTTTTTTTTCAGAAATGGACAGACTGGTCCTAAAATTCATATGGAAATGCAAGGGACCTAAATTATTTAAAGCAGTCTTGAACAAAGTTGGAGGACTTATACTTCTTGATATATGGCACATGCCTGTAATCCCAGCAGTCTGGAAGACTGAGGCAGGAGGATCACAAGTTCAAGTTCAGCCTGGACAACCTACCAATTTATTGAGACACTGTTTCAAAATAAAAAAAGGGACAGGCTGGTGATTTAGCTCAGTGGTGCCACCTCCTGCCTAGCAAGTGGAAGGTCCCAAGTTCGATCCCTGGTACCAATAAATAAATAAATAAATAAAAATAAAAAAGGGGTGGGGGGCTGGAGATGTAGCTCAGTCCAAAGGCCCTCAGTTCAATCCCCAATTCCAAAAAAAAAAAAAAAAAAGTGTGTTGCTGGCTTTAAAATGGGCATATAGATCAGTGAAACAGAATTGAGAATTTAGAATCATCTTCATTTGTTTATAGTCAGTTGATTTGGGTAAGGATAACAAGACAATGCAGTGAGGAAAATAGTCTTTTCAACAAAATTTCAGGGACAACTGGAAATCCACATGCAAAAGAATGAAGTTGCATTCATACCTCTTACACACAAAATTTACTCAAAATAGATCAAAGATCTGAATGAAAGAGCCAAAATTGTAAAACTTTTGGAATAGCACTCTAAGGATCTTGAATGTTTTTATATATGTGATGGGAAGACTTAGATTTTTAAGGGTTAATAAATGATTCTTCCCCTTCCACTTCACTCCTTCTGTGCCATTACCTATTCTAGGTACACCCACCCTCAAGCAGCCTTCAGTCTAGTGTGGGATGTTGACAGGAACCCTGAGAATTACAACACATTGTAGTAAGTGTCACCATAGAGCTGGGTTTCCCAACATTAGCACTACTAACATTTTACACAGGATTTTTTTTTTGGTAGCAGGGATTGAACTCGGGTCCTTGCGGCTGTGAGGCAGGCGGCGGAACCACTGAGCTAAATCCCCGGTCCTACACTGGATTATTTTTTTCTGAGGAAGTTTTCCTGTGCATTTTAAGGTATTGTAGCATCCTCTCTTGTATTAGATGCTAGTAGCACTTCCTGAATCAAGGTAATAAAAAATGTCTCCAGACTTTACCAGATATATCCCATGGGAAGCACAATCACCTTAGTTGAGAACTCATATGATAAGGTGAGCGCTGTGGGTTTTCCCATAGGAGTACCTTCGTATGAGCCAGAGAAGGCGTCCTGGAGCACTGAGATACCAACACATTTTTCCAAGTCTTATATAGGGTACTTTGGAATCTCAGGTCCTCTGCAAGATTATAGTTAGCGCCTTTCTCTGTTTTGCTCTAGGCTGTGATCAGTGCAATCAGAAAATTCCTAGAGGGAATCTCAGGCCTGCACCTGGTCTATACTCACCACCCTCTCCTGCTCAAGTTCTTCCTGTTGTATCCAGAGCTGATGAGTAGGTTTGGGCATCGTGTCCTGGAACTTTGGTTCTCCTGGGAACATAGCAGCTATGAAGAACTGGATGATGTCCCTTTGGCTGTACAGTTGAACCTTCCTGCCAGCTTAGCAGCTCTGTTCCAGATACTCAGAAGCAGCCCCAGCATCCTTCTTATTTTGGTGGTAGGTGCTTATTGCTTTCTGCATTCAGAGATGGCAGGCCTTCTGCCTCTGGCAGTCAGTTTACTGAGGTCAGCAGGGACCCACAGCTTCTTCTGCCCACCTCTGGACTTATTGCTGTCTCCATGTGAGTGGAAGATCTTTTATGCTTGTAGATGCCTGGTTTCTGTAAAATCATACCCTTTCATAAGTCTTAATAAGGGTCTACACACTGAGAAATATGTTTCTGTCTACTCCCCATGGGATATAACTATAAAATATGGGCCTCAGTCATCATTCCCTTTTACTTCTCTGTCCTTTCTCTCAAGGAGATACTGGTAAGAAGGGTTAATGTCAAAGGAGACCCTAGGGCATGTTTTTGGAGATGTCTGATTGCACAGTGAGTCTCTTTTTCCATGCTCTAGTACATGTGTAATATACTCCTTCAGGGATATCTCGAGTTGTCAGAAACCCCAATACTTCTTTATTATATAAGGTATTATTATAATTCCCATCAGATACATCAGTTAGGTGAGGTAGACTGCCTATGGTCTGCCACTTCTAACACCCTGGCTTTAACTCCACCCTTTTTCCTTTCATTCAAGAAAGCACATTGGAAAACAAATTAGTGAGAGTGACATTATTATACAGATAACTATTGATATATGTGTATATATATATATTTTTGAAATATATTTTACGTATCACAAAATGCATCCATTTTGACTGAACACTTCAATGATTTTTTAGTAAGTTAAGCTATAAATGCAACCATTATCATAATCAGTCTCAGCATCTCAGAACATTGTCATCACCTTAATATAATTCCAACTCACCCCCTCATCTTTAGTGCTCTGTCTTTCCATTTTTCCTCTGTAGAGGCCAGCTTCCTGATAGTATCTCTCATCACTTTCAAATTCTTCCTTTAAGGAGGAAAAAAGGGAAAGGAATGAGTTAAAAACAGCATTAATATGGAGAGGACGAGAGCAAAATGGGACACCAAGGAGAGTAGCAGTGGACATAGGTAAGATATTAGGTGTATTAGTCAATTTCCCATTGATGGGACAAAATACCTAGCACTCACAACTTAAAGGAGAAGTGTCATTTGGCTCATGGTTTTGAGGGATTCAGTCCATGGAAAGCTGACTGCAAGGCAGAAATGCCACGATGGAAAGGCATGGTAGAAGAAAGCTGCTCATCATATTGTAGCCAGGAAGCAGAGAGAAAAGGGAGGAGCTTGGGAAAAGAATACACCCTTCCAGGTTGCACCCCCAGTGACCAACCACCAACCCGGCCTCACCTCTTAGCACCACATTCAGCTGTGAATCTCATCAATAGATTGATTCTCTGATGAGTGTAGCACCCCCATGATCTAGTCATCTTTCAAAAGCCTTATCTCTGAACACATGAACTTTTGGGGGACACTTTAGATCTAAACCATAATATTCTGCCCCTCATCACCAAAATATTCATGTCCATCTCATTACATAAAATGTAATCTATCTCAAGAGTTGCCAAAGTCTTAATATCTTCAGCAGTGCTGAAAAGTCTAAATCCAAAGTCTCCTCTAAGAATCCATGCAAACTCTTAGCTGTGAGCCCCTGTAAAAATAAAAAAGAAAGCTAAATAGTTCCAACATGCAATGGCATGGGGTAAACATTATCATTCCAAAAGGGAAGGGTAGGGGAAAAGAAAAGAATGGGACAAAAGCGAGGAATGGGACCAAAGCAAGTCCTATATGATGACAACTCAAATCTCTGCCCTACCCTGAGCTTTCTCCACAGGCTGGATACTTAAAGCCAATATCTTCTTAACAGTTTTGTGTAAAGTAGAGCTCAGTGTTCTGGGGATGTACCTCAGTAGTAGAGCACGTGCATAGCATGTATAAGGTCCTAGGTTTAATCCCTGGCACCAAAATTAATTAATTAATTAAAAAGTAAAACTAAAATAGAGCTCATCATCTGCTCTCCCAAGTTCCCTTTCTCATACTGAGTCTTGCTGAGTCTTACTAGCCCTGGCTGAAGGCTACCCTAGCTCACCATCTTCAAAGGAAATAAGCACTTAAAAGAAGCAGGCCAGCTGGGCATGGTGATGCATACCTGCAATCCCAGTACTTGTGGCTAAGCAAGGAGGATCACTGTGAGTTCCAGGCCAGCTTAGGGTACATAGTTAGTTCAAGGCAGCCTGAGCTACATAGTGAGACCCTGTCTCTAAAAACAAAACAAAGGGCCGGGGATTTAGCTCAGTGGTTTCACCGCCTGCTGCACAAGCACAAGGACCCGCGTTCGATCCCTGGTATCAAAAACAAACAAACAAACAAAAAACCCCAAAACCCCTTAATAAGAAGCAAGCCAAAGAGAAAGTGAACTCCAGAGACCAAATCCCTAGAGAGTCCATGTCCCTGGGAAGCTACAGTGAGTACCCCATCTATATCCGGCAAGTGATGCAAGCTTTGTCCTTGAATTTATGCCATCCTCCTCATCTTTCCTACCTGGAGGAGGTGGGAGCAGAGAAGAGAAGAGCTGCTTCCCCTGGCCTAGAACTCAAAATGAGGGAGCTGCCTTCAGGACTCGATGCTGTTTAGAAGTCTAGGAAGATGGAGGCTTCTCTGAGCTTCAGTCTCCTCACATAAAATGGAGATAACATGAAGATGGAAGAGGTAACATGTAGGTCCGCTCATGGTATGCTGTACAATATGCAGAAGGCTGAACCAGATAAAGAATGTTCATCTCAGAGAGGCTAATGGAATTGCCCAAGATTGTAAAGCTAATAAGGGTCATGGCCATGACTAGAACCCAAAGCTAATGAGTTTTCCCTGAATCAGATGCCAGAAATATCAGTGGTAAAAAAGAACAGCAAGGAACAGCAAGGTACAACTTTGCTGTTTGTTCAAATATATAATTTTTACCAATTCTCCACAGCTTCTAGCCACAGGAGGGGGAAAAGAGTCTAAAAATATATGTTGTTACCAATTTCTGTTTTTTTATGTGGGAATTAACAGCTGAAAACAAGGCTGTTAATTGCCACTCTTATCTATGGGTGGTCTTTCATGTAGGTTTTTTAGATGAGAAAAACAATGATGTCACAGAAGCTCTGTTTGTTCTTTGCTTGGCCAACCCACCCTGGTAGCTCTGGTCCCAAGAGAGTTCTGGATAGCTGTGAGCAGCAGAAACTGCAAATGGATGGGGTTTCCACTTAGCCCCTTCCCTCTGTGCCACATAGTGGGATGCGCACCTTCCCCCATGACTCACTGTGGCCACCGAGTGGCTGTTAAGATTCATTAACAGATTTCTAAATGATCAGCTCTGTGGCAGTGTGACATGGATGGGCCTGTGAAGAAGGACCAGGAAATTGTTATGGCCTTAGGCCCCATGACCTTGAACAAATCACCCCTCCTTCAGTCTTCAGCCTCATACTCTGAGAGTTGGGTAAAATGATCCAGATTTTCTCTAGCCCTTCATTTTTGTGATCTCTCAGAGAGATCTTTTCTTCTTTTCAGAGATGTTTTCTGAGTCACTACAAGATAACAAAGATGAAGCAGCTTTTGCCCTATTCCTTCACTAACTCACAGTGTAGTGGAATTTACAACTTTACTACTCTCTTGAGAAACATACTAATTAATCTGCCCCACTTTCCTTATTTGAAAAATTAGGGTAAAAGCTAACTGGAAAAGTCACTGTGAAGATACAAATCATATGTAAATAAATGTATAGCTACTAATAAACAGAACAGTACCTGACATCATTAAGCCCCAAGTGAGTGTTTGCTATTGATATTGTTATTTCTTCAGCAACTGTGGAGGTTTGTGAAGATCCAAGCCTAGATGTCCCTGTGTCCCCATCCTTTCCTGTCCACCCAGTGGTCAACACATCAGGACTTGTCTGGCCAGGTACCCTAAAGCCATGTTTCTGTGTCAGGAGCTGTCCTCTCTGGAGAGAGAGTCTGTGTGCAACCTTGCATTCACAGTACCCAGTCATAACTGGCCAAGCACATTAGCCTGTCCAAAGGAATTGGCTTGTTTGAGCTGGTAGGTGCCAGGAGCTATTAGCAGTACAGCCACTGGTGCAGGTTCTGACTGGGTTCACCTTTAACATACATTCATAAAAATTATTCTGAAAGCAAGACAAAAAGCAATGTCCTTTTCGTCATCTGTACCCAAGACCTTTACAACTTGGGGCATGGATAGGCAAATGCCATGGCAGAGAATGGGCCTGATCTGAGCCTCCTTTCCTTTCCTGTGCCCTAAATCTGTCCCAGCCCAGCCTTTCCCTGGCCTGTTTCATCCCCATCCTCTTTGCTTCTCTCTTCCCTTAAAGCATGCTCTGGTTCACTATCCTGAAAACAACCTCTTCCTGATCCTAATACTTCCATTTGCAAGAGGGAGGCATACTGAAAAGCAGAAAGAGTTATGCTTGGATCAGGAGACCTACATTCACTTCCTCTTCATACTGCTTACTGGGTTTCATGCTGCTTACTGGGTTATGTGACCTTGGACAAGTCATATTATATCTCTGAACCTCCATTTGCTCTCGGGTGGAATGGACTCACTAGGATGGGCCTGTTCTTCAGGATGATGTGAGGAGTCAGTCTTTCCAGAAGAGCCTTTGATACAAGATAGGTGCTAAGTGAGAACTTACCCAGCTTCTGTGACACCATCATCCTGGACACTTTCCCTACTTCTGTCTTCTTCGCTGTCTGCAGTCCCTGGCTGTGATGGCTTCTGAGCTCTGGCTTTCTTCTCTCCTGCTCAGGACCTTGTCTATTCTAGCCCAGTGGATGTAGCCCGAAAGGTGCTGATAATTCTGAGGACCTTCTTGAGGAGGAACAAGGATATCCAAGTGGGTGGTCTCATCCGTGGCCACTTCCTGCTCACCCTGCAGCACCTGCTGGTAGAGCATGAGACCTCCCCCTCAGGAGGTTAGTCTACAGGTATCTTGGGCGTGTTTTGACTTGAAGGCCAGTCAAGAGTAGGCAGCTCTGTCCTGATGAGGTGTGCTCTCAAGAGGGAATCAGGATTTTTGCTGAAAAAGAAAAGCTAGGCCAGTGTGGCACAGCATGCTCCACTGTGTTTGTGTGTTTAACATGAGTGGGAGTGTGATGTATGTGTGCCTGTCCCCACCCTGCACGGCATATGCTCAGAGCTCTTTGTCACAAGAATGGCAGCCCCCAGTGGGAAGAAGAAAGTGGGAAATCTGGAGGAGGCTGGGGACCCAGCAGGGCTCTGGGAGGAGGTTGAATCTGTGATGTATTAGGCATTCCCAGTGAGATCTAAGAAGATAGTTTCCAAATCTAGAATGGGACCCCTGGAGTCAAGGAAACTTGCTATTTGGAACAGTATGAAGAGAATAAAAATTGAGATTGGTTTGTCTTTTCCTGTTTTTAGAGAGGCTGAAATTTTAAACTAAGTTTATGAGCCATCAAAAGAAAGTGGGAGGATATCTATGGTTCATTTGGTCCAGTCCTAGGTTGGGATTTGGAGATAGATTAAAGGGCATCAGAAGGCACTGAGTCCTCTCCTTTGCCGGGAGGAGCAAGACATATCTCATTGGTAATCTTGTCTAAGAACCATAAGATTTAGTGGAAACATAGAGGAAAGGCCATGGGCATTGGATTCAGATTGGATTCAAGTCTTGGCCCTGTATCTCTGTCTGTTCCGGGTATTTTGACAATGCCACAGAGTGGGTGGTTTATAAACAACAGAAATTTATTTCTCAGGGTTCTTGAGGCTGGTTAATCTAAAATCAAGGTGCTAGAGCCGGGGATTTAGCTCAGTGGTTCTGCCGCCTGCCTCGCAAGCGAAAGGACCAGAGTTCGATCCCTGGTACCAAAAAATTAATTAATTAATTAATTAAATAAAATAAAGGTGCCAGCAGATTCTGTGTCTGTTGAGGGTTTCATTGCCTGGTTCATAGATGTCTGCTGTGTCTTTACATGGCAGAAGGGGTGAAGGAAGGAGGTCTTTGGAATCTACTTTATAATGGCACTGATCCCATCTAGAAGAGTACTCATCTCTGTTAAGATTTCAACGTGAGGGCCAGGGATTTAGCTCAGTGGTACCAACGACTGCCTCTCAAGTGGAAGGTCCTGAGTTCGATCCCCTGGTACAAAAAAAAATGTTTTTTTCAACGTGAATTTTGGGTGTCACAAGCCTTCAAACTTAGGGACCCTGTCCTTTATTTATGGTGGGGAGGGTTGTCTGACCTTTGGTTAATCTGAGCTAAGGCTTCCTGACAGCCCTCCTTGATCATCACAGCCTCAGGCAACCTGCCACTCCTCCTGAGTCTCCTGTCCTTGGTGCAGCTGAGGAACAAGTCAGAGCAAGAACTGGACAGCATGGCCATGAAGCTCCTTCACCAAGGTGCCTTGGCGGTTTGGGGTGGTGCCTGACAGCCCAGAGCAGCATGTGCAGTGGGCCCTCTCTCTAGTGCTGCTATTTATTTCTTCTGTTCTTTTATCCCTTTGCAAGAAGCCAGTAGTCTGCCTGTCCCTGGGAGCTTCTTACTGAGGTACCTCTTATGGCTTTTCTGCTTGTTCTCCGGGAGTGTTTGGGAGATCCTCCCCCTGCCAAAAAATAATCAATATGTGACAGGCACAAACTCTAGGGTCACAAAGGATCTGGGTCTCAGCTTAGTCACTTGGTGTGTGAGGTTAGGCAGTCACCTTGCCTGTACCAAACGTAGGCCCTTCTTAGGTAAGGTAATATCCCTGTTACAGGGTTAAAATAGGAATACTTGACCTGGTAGGTATAGAAGGCTACATGGTGCTTGACACACAGTAGGCCTTCATTGTGTCAATTCATGTTTTGTGGCATCAGGTCAGCTCCCCACCTCATCCCACAGCTAATGAGTCAGCTCATAGTTGTCTAGGCTTTTTTCCCACCTGCACCCCAGACCTCAGTGGGACCTTTCATTGATCATGAATATAATCACTACTTCGTATGCAGCTCCCGTGGGAAGAATTATTGAGGGAAGGTTGAAATGAGTAGGAAAAATGACATTTCTTCAGTACCTGTAGACTCAGATCCCCTGGCACAGGTGAAGATGGGGTGCTTTCACTGCCCAGAGCCAAGTCTTTCTCAAAAGATCAGTGTCAGGCTCAGAAAGGGCCTCTGGGGATAGCTGCAGCTCCTGCTTCTGGCTGGTGCTGGTTATCACTGGCTATCTGTCAGGTCAAGGCCAACATCAAGTTGATCTATATGTGACAAAATCACCCTTCAAAGGGGCCTCTGACAAGGAGGAGTAACATGCTGAAATCTACATGTGAAATGCAATAGACATTTACATGTATTCTTTGAGTACTTCTGTTTGGGAGGAGAGGACTGCAGTTACTTCACTATGGTCCATGGTTCGGGAGTGAAGGTGCTAGGGTGAGGGGCTTGCTTCTCAGGTTGACTGTGGTCAGTGGGAAGCCAGAGTGTGATGTGGCTACCAAAAAGTGAACAGAGACTTAAGTAGGTTTCACAGTGGAATGGGAGTAGGGAGACGGGGAGTGGTAATTCCCAGGAGGGAACTGTTCTGCAGATGACTCTTCAGTGTAGTAACTGCTTTGTTGAGGCCTGGGGAATGCAGAAGAGGCATCTCATTTTGCTTTGAGAGGTGATGAGAGGCTTCATGGGGGAATGAACTTGGAGCTGAATCTCAGTTGCTGACTAGGAGTTGGAGTTAGCCAGACGGAGGTGGTATGTGAGAGAGGATATGGAATGTGAAGAGAACTGCACATGATTATCACACAGTTCCCTTGGGAAGGCAGTGACTGCACCATTGCTAGGAGAACTGTGAAGCAAGGCTAGATGGTCTTAGGAAGCAAGGACTCCTGCTAAGGTGGCAGGCTGGCTCCGATGACCTCTGTAGACCCTTGTGTCCTACAGTCTGATGGCATACACACGTTTAGAGGATGCCCTCGGTCAGCTCATCCCATACAATGTGTGCTGGCTAATGTGCAACCAAGGGCAGCTTACCCAGAGTTTTTCCAGATGGAGGATGTTATGGCTTGTGTTTAGATGTCCCCTCAAAGCCTCATGCAGTCATAGATGGGGCTTTTTCAGAGATGGCTGAATCTAGTGTGTGTGATTGATTCATGGTGAAATGTAGGATTAAGGGTGTGAGTGGGTATAAGGGACAAAAAGAGGCTTGCTGCTAGATACTTGTGGTTTGTCATTTGCTTTGCTACCTTCTGCCTGCCATGAACTGTTGCTCCTCTGCAATTCCTGTCTGCCATGCCAACCTGCCTTGGAACCAGCCAATTATGGACTGAAACCTCTATAAACTGTGAGCTAAATAAACCTTTCCTCCTTTAACTTTGGGTGTCGGATATTTTGTCTCAGCAACGAGAGAAAAGTAACTAAGACAGAGGGTGTGAACATGTCTTCAGATTTCACTGTGTTTCTTTCCATTGGCTGTAGTGTCAGGAATGCTCAGTTTGTGCTTTCTCTCTAAGGCAGAAATCTGAAATTAGTCAGTTGTATGCCATCATCTGTGAAAAGTGTGACTGTATTAAGACCGTGGAGTGGTATAAAATGTGCCACCTGGGGACTCTCGTCTCTTGCAGTGAGCAAGCTTTGTGGGAAATGTAGCCCTATGGATGTGGACATCCTGCAGCCCTCCTTCAATTTCCTGTACTGGAGCCTTCACCAGACCACACCCAGTAGTCAGAAAAGAGGTGCGTGACTGAGGCCAGGATAGTGAAGAGGAAGAGTGCTGGGCAGCATCTGTGGTCCTCGCTGCCATCAATTTTTTCATCTTAACAAATAACGTGGGGAGTGTTTGTGGCTGGTGGTCATGGGTCCTCTCTTCTGCAATAATTCTGGGAGAATTTGGGCCATAGGTTGATCCTTTTGTTTATTTTTACATGTGTGAAGCTCCACCTGGTGCTGAGCACCTTGGAGGCACTAAGCTAGAGCACCTATGTAACTATGTGGCTTCTGCCCTGTCCCTTCCCGCAGTGGCTGCAGTGCTCTTAAGCAGCACAACCCTGATAGAGCTTCTGGAGAAGACGCTGGTGCTCACCTGGGCAGACACAGGCTCTCCTCCGTGGACAGAGGGAGGCTCTCCCAGGAGCGCACTGCTTTGTTCTGCCTGGCTGCTCGCTGCTTCCTTGTCTGCCCAGCAGCATGATGGCAACTTGAAGGTTAGTCTCTGGCTCCATGGCTTTGAGGCATGGGATAAAAATTCAAAGAAGTGATGAAAAGCCTGAGTTCTGGCCCCAGCTCTGTGGCCTGTTAGCTGTGTGACCTTGGCAAGGTACTTAACTATCTTAAAATTTCAGTTTCCTTCCTACAGAGTGGGAAGAACATCCCAGGGTGTTGTTAGGTTGGTTTAAGTTAATCCATTTAATGCACATGGATCACCTATGTGCCAGACTATTTTTGTCACAGTGGAATAAAAAATGAATACAGCATTTGTCCTACTCTTTAGGGTACTTTAAGCAAAGCCTTAAAGTAACTAAATTGTACTCAGCAAAGATAGGCTAAGATTTTAGGTAACAAGCTCAATATGAGCAAAGGCATGAAGCTGGCCAAATTTGGGACATGAGCCAGATGTGGTGGCACATGCCTGTTATCCCAGCACTTGGAAGCAGAGGCAGGAGGATCTCAGCAAGTTCAAGGCCAGTCTGAACTACACAGTGAGACCTTCTCTCAAAAGAAAAACAAATCAGGGTATAGGGTGCATATTATTTGGAGAGTGGTGAGGTGATATGTGTGGTTAGAGTGTGGGGATGAAGGAATAGGTCAGATTGGACAGGAAAGCAGGAGCAGTGCTTGACCTTGAAGTGCTGGGTGGCAAGTTGTGAAGAGCCACACGTTGTTAGCTGTCATTGTTACTGTTTGGGAGGGTGATGCAGGGAACAGAAGAGCAGCGGATGTGTCCACAGAGCACCTCCTCGCCTCCCAGACCCACCCCCTGCAGCAGCTGCTCATCACAGTGTGCTGCATGAGCTCCTCTGTGGGCTGTTTCCCAGTCCAGCATCTCCTCAGGCCCCATGGCTCCTCATAGACACAAATATCTCCCAGCCTCCATGGTGTCTTCACACTATGCCCAGAAGGCTCCCAAAGGAGACTGGGGAAAGGAAAGGCCCTGGGTTCAGAAGATAGAAAAGGACACTTTCTCCAAACTTGAGGGCAGCTTTTTTGTTCTCCTCTGGGTCTGGCCCTCTGCATCCTACCTCCTGCCATTTCCACTGTCTTTTCCTGCCTTCTGGCCAAGTATTTACTCTTTTCCACTGGGCTGTGCTGTTTCACATCTTCATATCTTTTTTATTGTTTTGTTCATTTTTTCTTTTCTTTCTTTCTTTCTTTCTTTCTTTCTTTCTTTCTTTCTTTCTTTTTTTGGTACTGGGGATCGAACTCGGGTCCTTGCGCTTGTGCAGCAGGTGGTGAAACCACTGAACTAAATCCCCGGCTTTTTTTTTTTTGCCGTACCAGGGATCGAACTCGGGACCTTGTGCTTGCAAGGGAGGCAACAGTACCACTGAGCTAAGTCCCCAGCGCCTCATTTTTTATTTTCAATAGGTTTTTAAAAAAAATAAAATTAAGTCCAAATTTTATTTAAGGATTTCAAATTACATATTTCAAATTTCTAAAATGAAATAGTACCATCTTGGAATGAAGAAATGGCATAAATGAACACTGACATCCCTTGAAATTAAAATTTTACAAAGAAAACAATTCCTCTGCAAACCACAACCCCATTATGTAACAAGATGAAATATCATCTACCTCTTCACTTTGGCAATAGCTATTTCCTAAAGGAATGGAAAAAGGTGATTTTGTTACTTCTTTAAGTTAATTAAAAATGGGATTCTATCTTTAGATTAAAATTTTAAAGATCAGAATTGTTTAGATGTTTAGATGAAATATGGTAACAAAAAAATCAACATAGAATGTCTAATCAAAATTCTGAAAAGGAAAAGGAAAAAACTACTGTGATAGGTTAAGGATTTCCAGTAGTTAAGATTCTCAAGAGGTATGGATAGTTCCAAACAAATGCGTTCACATTTTAAGTCCTTAATACAATAGGTTTTATTTTAAGGACAGTTTTAGATTTATAGAAAAATTGAAGAGGTAACTTAGAGTTCCCATATAGTCCCCCACACTCTTTCCTCTATCATTAACATTTTACATTAGTGTAATATTGTTGTGCCTTTTTACAGGTTGGCTCTTCTTTCTAGAACCTGCAGCCAACAGGGATTTTTAAGGAGCTTCTTTGTGCCAGACTATGACACAGACCAGAGTAAACAGTTAAAGACAGCAGAGGAAACACAGCTTTGACCCTAGGACCCCTACTGTAGCCACTCAGCTGGGACATTACTTGACATTAGATTCATGTTCATTGACACCGTTCCTCACAGTAGCTGTGGCAGGAGTGGAAGCAGGTGGCATTGTCTTAATTTCATAGTGAAGAAAGTGAGGCAGGCTAAGAGAGGTGCAGTGACGTGCCCAGGGCCACACAGCTGGCAAGTGGCAGAGCCAGGATTTTGATTTGGCCTGCCTGACTCCAGGTCTTCTGAGTTAGGTGGATGGTGGGTAGAGCCAGAGACTGAACCACAGATGAGGCTGGGGCAAGCATCCTGGTGGAGGAGGCAGCTGAGGATGGGGGAAGTTTTTGCAGAGGAGTTAGTTCTTCAGGTACACTTCTGAAGCCAAGACTGGTGAGGCTCTGAGAATTCTGTGACCTACTCTGTCTCTGCTTGGTGCAGTGTGTAAGTTGGGGGGCAATGGGTAGAAGAGATACGGGGGCAGGCTGTTTTCTGCCCAAGGTCCTAGAATGTGGAATTCAGCCCTGTACCCCTGACATGCCAGGTTCACCAGACTCTGTCCGTGGAACTGGACCAACTAGTGAAGACCCTCAGCTTTCCGAAGAAAAAGGCTGCACTGCTGTCAGGTGTGGGCCCTGGAATTTGCAGCAAGTGAAGAAAAGCTTTTCCCCTAGATTCTGAGATAGAACCACCCACCCAGACCAGCCTACAGTCACCCCATAATTATTTCATCAGTATTGTCTCCTTTCCTGTGGCGCATGGGTGGGAGGTGGGGAAGGAGGCAGGAACTGGGTGTGAGGAGCCTCCTTCTTTCAGCTGCCATCTTACGCTTCCTGCGGACAGCCCTGCAGCAAAGCTTTTCCTCTGCTCTAGTGGTCCTGGTGCCCTCAGGGGTCTGGCCACTGTCAGCCTCCAAGGACACTGTCCTAGCTCCACTGGGGACATCACAAGTGCTGTACCTGATTGTCGGGCTCCAGAACCTCTTGGTGCAGGTAAGACCCTTGCTGAGTGGGCCCTGGGCAGTGGGTACTGCTTCTCCTAGGACAGCAATGGGAACAGGTGGCTGCCTGTCAAGAGCCTGTTATTCCCATCAGGACCAAGAGGTGATTGGTTGACTTTTAAAGCCACATTGATAAAAACAGAGCTCAAACTGGCTCCTAAGAAGTCCAGGGATCACTACTGGACAAGTAGGTCTCAGAGGCTCAGACAGTGCCCTCATGACTCTATGCTGTCTCTTGGCTCTGCATCCCTCCTTATCAGCTTTGTCCTCATGGGGTGGTAGGATGACCAGTAGCAGCTCTAGACTTATACATCCTCCCAGCAGAAACAAACTCTCTTTCCCAGAAGTTCCTGGAATTGAGTCTTCGCCTGGCACGGGTAATATACCAGTCACCATGGGTGGGCCATGGGATGCTCTGACCAGCTTGGCCTGGGTCTGTGCCCTCTCCTGGAGGCTGGGATGTATGGTCAGCTTTCTACAACCCATGTGGACTGAACCTAAGACGGGAATGCTATCCCCAAAGGGAAATTATTGCCGGAAGAAGAAGGAATGGATTCCTGGGAAGCAAAACAGATGATCACCTCAGGCAGATTAGTGGGTTTTTTTGTTTTTTTTTTTAATTTTTGGTACGAGGGATCGAACTCATGACCTTGCACTTTCAAGGGAGGCACAGCTCCACAGAGCTAAATCCCTGGCTGATTAGTGTTTTACAGCTCAGAGGATTCTTGGAGATCATTGTTTGTCTAGCCATCACACACTGAGTCTCTCACCCCAGTATTACTGCTAGGGCCAGTAAATGGTGTTGAAGGCCCCAGGAGTGGGCCTCCTGCTAGGCTGGTGGTTTCTGAATCTTGTCCTATGGCCCACCCACACACACAAGGCTCTGGCTGTTCAGGGATCAGATATTTCTCATGTCTTACCATTCAGCTGTTTCTGTTTTACGTTTCCATTTGCACAGGTCAATCTACTAGGCTATGAGATCTTCAAGGCAGGAACTGAGTAGTCTGGTTCATCTTTGTGTTTCCTTCCCCCTTTGGGGTCAAAATAAGTTGAAATATCAACTTAAAAACATCAGCTTTATTTCTGGCAAGTGCCATAGTACAATATAACTGGGGCTTAGGGTCAGAATGGGCTGTGTGTGTGTGTGTGTGCGTGAAACAACAGCAAAGATAACAATTTTACAGTGAACAGTCATATATCCACCCCCTAAATCCTACCATTAACATTTTATTATTTCTACTTCATCTATCTATCCAGAATGAGCTTTTTTTTTTTAATGGTATTGGGGATTGAACTCAGGACCTCGAGTTTGCCAGGCTGGCACTGTGCTGGTAAGCTAAATCCCCAGCCCAGAAAGGGCTTTTAAACCACTTTTCCCCCTAAGTAGACCGAGGAGTTTACTGGGGAAAAAATGTGCTATGTTACTCAGCTAGCTGATCATGATCCTAGGAGTTTATGTTTATGGGAGCATCATCATTAATACCTTAATTCTTGATGATAAAATATGTGTTAAGCTAGTGTCTGCTTGTTAGGTTAATCTCCCCTTGAGTGAGTAGGGCCAGTGAAAGAAAGGCCTTTTATCTATGTTTCTAAAAGGGCTAACATTATTGCTTTAACATTCAGGACACGTGTTTGTTGGGGAAGGAGAGGAGTGATTCCCTTATAATAAGAGTACAGAGCTTGGAAGAGAGTTGGCATCAAGTCATATTTTAGAATGAATGAATGACCACACGAGGACACAGAAATGAATGTGACATGATTCTAGCCATTCAGGCACTCACAGATCATAGGAAACACAAAGCCACTACCGTGATAATCCACTAACCTATTAATCAATGAATGGTTTAATCACTTCCTCAAAGCCCTACCTCTTAACTACATTAATATATGGTATATAAGCTAAAGGAAAGAAGTTCCTTTGGGAATTAAGTTTCCAACACATGACATTTGGAGACCGCATTCAAATCATAGCAATTCTCTTTCGGGCTTACTTCTCTGATTCAGATCCAGCTGCTACCTCCCTGAGAGGCTTTGGGGGAAGGGAAAAGATGGGCCTGAGCAGGGAAGAGACACACATCCTTCCTTCTCAGTCTTGGCTTTCTGCTTGGAGTGGGAGTGGAATGTGTTGTTATCAGTTTGGAATCTGAGGGAGCTAATTAGTTTTACAGATTGAAGCTTTGATCTCAAGGATCATTTCTACAGGAGCAGATGCAGCTGTCAGGTTAAGGGTTCATAGAGTGGGAGGTAGAGAGGATGGTGAGAACATCGTGTCCCAAGTGTATACTGTGTTTGAGGTACTTGACATACGGTATTGATTCATCCTGACTCCTCTATAAGGTAGAAACTTTCATTTCAGCTTTTTCTTTTCGCCCTGCAGTATTGGAAATCGAACCCAGGGCCTTTGTATTGAGCTATATCTCCAGCCCTTTTAAAAAATTTTTATTTCAAAACATAGTCTCAGTTTTCAAAGTGCTAGTGAACTGGAGCCATTCTTACCTGAGCGATAGTCTCTGGTTTTCCTAATACTGTATGGAGCACTGTGGCTCCTCACGCACTATCCACAGGGCCCTTGAGGTAAGAGAACAGCAGCTCCTTACCAGATGGGACAGCTGTGGCACGCTGGCCCATGGGGCTGTGGATGTGTGGGAAGAGTCTAGAAGTGCCCACTCTTTAAGAGTTCTTTTTAGATTAGAAAAAAAGATAAAGGTGTCAAACTAGAAATCAGGAGACATTGGTTTTGGCTCCAGACCTGCCACCAGGCGTGTTCAGGTCAAACATTTTCCCTCTGGGCCTCAGGTTGTAAAATGAAGTGGGTCAGTTAGCTCAGTCATTTCATACTGTGTGCCTTGGAGGCCTTTGGGATTCATTTGAAGAGACTCGGGTTATTTTAAAACGGAGAGTGTTTCTCCCTTTATATGTTTCACAAAGATATCATCATCATCATTGCTTTGTGCCAACCACCTGTTAAACACTATATCTATTTTCTTATGTAACCCTCTCAGCAATGAGGGTAATCTTTTTATCCCTACTCAGCAAGGTTAAGTAAGTTTTTCCAGGGTCACACAGATGGTCGGAAACTAAGCAAATTCAGCCAGACCCAAGTCTGCTTGCTGTTCCATACACTTAGCCACCAGGGTGTACTGCCTTCTAAAGCATAGCATGAGGAAAGCATAGGATTTTTGTTAGTTTGTTTTTACCTTTTAAAAGCCAGCATGAATGCATTCATTTATTCATTCATTTACTTACCTTTGAAACAAGGCCCACTTTGTAGTTCAGGCTGGCCTTGAACTCAAGAAAGTCCTCTTGCCTCAGCTTTCTGAGCATCAGGATTACAGGCGTGCACCACCAGCAAAAGTTAGCTTTACTGGGCTGTAACTTACATGTGATAAAATTCATTAATTTTAGCTATACAGTTGGATGAGTTTTGACAAATAGTTTTATAAGCACTATCACAATAATAAAAATAGAACATTTCCATCAGTCCAGAAAGTTGTCTTATTCTCTTTCGTTGTTAACTCCCTCAATCCATCCCCAATTCTTGACAAACACACCAATCTGCTTTCTATTATTATACTATAACCTCTTCTAGAATTTCATATAAACTAAATCATATAATAAGAGATCTTATGTATCTAGCATCTTTCATGTAGCTTAGTGCTTTTAAGATCTAATCAGATTGTTGTGTGTATCCATAATTATTTTTTATTTTTGCAGCAATGGGGATTGAACCCAGGGCCTTTGAACAGAACCCTCTCCCCTTTTTTTTTGAAACAAGGTCTTGTTAAGTTGCTAAATTGCATAGGCTGGGCTCAAACTTGTGATATTCCTGCCTTATAGAGTGCTGGGGTTATAAGTGTTCACCATGATGCTTGGCTTACATCTTTTTAGGGTGAAATGATATCCCTTTATATAGCTGTACTAGTTTGTTTATCCATTCACCTACTGATAAATATTTGGGATTTCCAAATTTGGGGCTATTATGAATAAAGCTCTTAACACTGAAGTGCAAATCTTTACATGGGTATTAATTTTTATTTCTCTTGGGTAATACCCTGGAGTGGGATTGCTGGGTCAAATGATGTGTTAGTTCTATTGCTGTATAGGTAATTACTACATACAGTACTTAGTGGCTTAAACACATCTGTTTACTAGCTCACAGTTCTATTCCAAGTCAGAAGTTTGGATAGGCTCAACCAGGTTTTCCCTTTAGGATTTCACAAGGCTGAAATCAAAGTGTTAGTCAGGCTTGCTGCTTCTCTGGGGGAAGTAGATTCTTCCCCAGTGGCCTCTTCCAACTCTTCAAGGTCGCTCAAGCCAGGCATAGTGGCACATGCCTGAAATCCTAGCACTTGAGAGGCAGGAGGCAGGAGGATCACAGTGAGTTTGAGGCCAGTTTAGGCTGCATAGTAAGTTCAAGGCCAGTCTGAACTACATAGTGAGACCCTGTCTCAAAAAAAAAAAAAAAAAAAAAAAAAAGGTCACTCACATTCTTCCACAGCCCCTCCTTCTTCAATCCAGAACCTCCAGTTTTTCTCACACTTCAAATTCCTTTAGTCCTTCTGTTGTCAGTTACCCAAAGAAAACTGCTTCTAAAGGGCTTGTGTGATTAGCTGGGGCCCATGCAATTTCCCTATTTCCAAATAACATAATCACAGAGATAACATCTGGGAACCAAGGTCATGGCCCTTCTTAAAACTCCGCCTATCATCTATGGTTTGTGTAGGTTTAACTTTATGAGAAACCATCCAATTACCCATTTTTTTTCTTTTTTTGAGGAAGGATCACACTATACAGTTCAGGCTGGCTTTTAACTCACTTTGTACCCCAGGCTGACCTTGAACTCATAGTGATCCTCCTATCTCAGCCTCCCACCATGCCTAGCAAGAAACCGTCTGCTTATTACCATCCCACTAGCAATATATGAGAGTTCCAGTTTGTCCACATTCTCACCAACACTTGGTATTTTCAGTGGTTTTTTTCGACTCTTTTTAAAAAATTGGTTATGCAGATTAATGAGTTTCATTTTGGCAGATTCTTATGTGCATATAATATATTTTGGTAATTTTCATCCCCTCCATGTTAGTCTTTTTAATTTTTCACTATTGGCGGGTATATAATGGTATCTCATGGTGGTTTAAGTTTGCATTTCCCTGGTGACTAATGATAATGAAATTTTTTTCATGTGCTTATTAGAGCATAGAATTTTGTTTGATGACAGGCTCTACTGTTTTGAAAAATGATTGAGACCCACTGCTTTAGATAAATTGTAATGTTTTTCAGTGTCTGTAATCTGTGAATCTTAGTGGGGCCCAGGGTCGATCTCCTTTTTGAAATAAAACTCCCTCTTTAAAATAGATTACCCAGGAAAAGCACAGCACTGTCTGTGGTGAGAGATGAAGCCAAGAAACATCTCTTAATTATCTGGAAGGGCATATCCCAAATCTGAAGTTCTGAAATCCAAATAAAAACCAAATGTGTTTTTTCTTGGTTAACATCAAAACCCATTGTTGCAAAACTTTGACAGTAATTTCTATTTTTGTTTTTTGTTCTTGTTTTGCAGAAGGACCCTCTATTGTCCCAGGCCTGCCTTGGTTGCCTGGAGGCCTTGCTCGACTTCCTGCATGCTCGTAGCCCAGACATTGGTAGAAATCTTCCCCATCCTCTGATGTTCCCATGGGGGAGACTGGAGGAAGCTAGTCCCTGCCACTCTTTATACCAGATTTCCATTCCCTGTTGTGTGATTCAGACTCATCTTGTTTAATTCTTTTCACCGCACTGAGATGAGAGCACTGAGGTTCAGAGAGGTCAAGTAACCTACTCAACCATGGTCACAATTCTCTTATGTGGCAGAACCCCTCCCACCACCCTGGGATATATTGTTTCACTGAGCTGTCAGCATAGGTGGATAAAAGCTCAAGGAAGGAAGAAGCCTCCTGGGGTCGGCCTGTCCAATGGCCTGCCTGCAGCTGAGCAGCCCCTTCTTGAGCCAGTAGAGGATCCTTTTTAGCCATGTCCCTAGGTCTTAAGAAAAACAGCATTAGCCACCTGGGCACTGGTGTTTCCTTTTTTTTTTTTTTTTGTACCGGGGATTGAACTCAGGACCTTGCGCTTTCGAGGCAGGTGGCAGAACCACTGAGCTAAATCCCCGGCCCCAGGGACTGGTGTTTCTTACAGCACTCCACGTGGCCTCCCAGCCCTGGCATCAGTTTTTGCTGTCTACTCTCTTGGATGCTGGAGATAATGCTTTCCTCAGACCTGAGATATTGAGGCTCATGACCCTGGTAAGTGTAGAAAGGATGGTCCCATGGTCTGAATGGTGTGAGCTGATGGTGCTGAAGAGGCCAGGGCACCTTGATTTGGTAGCCCTAATCCTCCAAGAAGGTAGAGAGGCTGGGTGGGGCTTCACCCTACAAGATGCCTGCTCAGAGAATTCCTGTGAATGCTCACTCTCCTCACCCCAGGAAGACCCTGACACCTTTTTTTTTTTTTTTCACAAAACGTTGACCAGGGCCCACCATCACATGCCAGGTCTACTAGATATAGAGATGGCAATGAGACAAATGCTCTGCCTCTAGGGGTCCCACAGTCTAGATAAGAAGGACAAAGAAATGAATAGTTAACTAGGATGTTTTGAATGGTAGAATGAAGGAGATGCTAAGTCCTTGGCACGTGGTAGGTGCCCACTGAATAAATATCAAAGCAGTGAGTCTATGAGTGATAGTAACATGGACCTACAAATAAATCCATGATTGATATGGGGACACAGAGAAAACAGCAACTGTTTCTGTGAAGTGAAGATAATGTTTTAGCTGAGGCCTAAGGGGTTAATAGGCAGAAAGAAGGAAGCTATTCCAGGTGGTGATATGAGAAGAGCAGAACAAGAGCGCATGGTGGTAATCGGTTATGGAATCTGCACAGTTCATATGGTGCAAGGCTGGGGAAGGAGGGAGCCAAGGGCAGACGTCACCAGGGCAGCACTCTCAGGGTCTCAGTCAGCTTCGTTTGCTTGGGAACACAACCCCATCCCCACCCCCTGCCCACCAATGCAGAGCTCTTTGAAAGCAGGGTTCTGTGGGCTTCACAAAAGTGTCTCCAGCTCAGTGCTGAGCACAGAGGGCATAGGAAATGGCATCTCTGCCAAATCACTGAGCCCATGAGGCTCTTCTTTCTGTGCCAGTTTGTGCGGTATAGGAGCAGCAGCATCCTCTCCCATGAAGAGGTGGGTCACCTTCTGCAAGACAAGGCTTTGGCTGACCTGTCTACTCTCTCAGACACCACTCTGCAGGCCCTGCGTGGCTTCTTCCTGCAGGTGGGTGGAAAGGGGATGCCACACAGGCCCCGTGAGGCGTGACCCTCAAGGTTGTCTTCTCTCTAGAGCGTGGGAGCTGTTGGCATGGCTAGGAGTGCATGGGGTGGGGGCAGTTAGAGGGGTGCTGACTTCCCTGCCCTCTTATCATCTCAGGTCCAGAGCATGGGCCTCTTAGCTGATCACAGTATGATCCAGACCCTGCAGGCCTCCTTGGAGGTCCTTTCCAGCACCTCCTCAGCCCAGCCACCCCTGGAGGACATGCTGTATCCTTTCTTCATGTGGGAGCTTTGGCCTGGGCAAGGTCAGCCAAGTGGAAAGGGCTGGTGACAGGCAAGTCCTTTAGAAATCCTGGGGCTGTAGTGTGGTCAGAGGCCCTAGAAGGTTGCTGGGATGCTCCAGAGACACTGCTGAGTATGGGTGGGTGCTTCCTACCCATACCAGCTGCCTCCCTGGATCTCCTTTCCCCTTCCAGGGAACAGTTCCCTGTTGTAGAGCAGCTACCTAGCCAGGTGTTCAGGCCCCAAGTTTAGAAACCATGCCACTATTTTTAGGAGCATCTTTGCTCTTGCCTGACATTCTTACTCTTTGGGGGGCTTGGAAGTGTGATTCTCTCATGGTTGGTTTCTCTTCTGTGCTGTTCTCCTCTCATATTTCATTACCAGCTTCCTGGGAGGGGTGGCCGTATCCCTGTCCCACATCAGAGACTGAGCATCAGGACTTGAAGGCCCAGAAACCAAAAGAAGTGAGACCAGGAGACAAACTCAGGGCATAATTATTGGGAAGAGGATGACAATCACAGCCATTCCTCTGGAACCATCTACTCCAATGGAAATGAAATAGTGCAAATGGAATCAGGAACTAAAATGATACAAACAGTTCAGTCTGAACTCATTTTGTCTCCCTGGACCTGGCTTTTCAGCCAGTTGGATAGTGGATTGTTTCAGCAAGAGCTGGATGGGTTCCCTGGGGAGAGCGAGGGTACGTTTGTTAAGACAGTGACACCTAAGGAGTGCCTGCCTGCTGCCTCAGTTGTATCCAGTGAACACAAGTCAGGCCATAACTATCAATTTGGGCTGCTGTAATCCTAGTGCTCTGAGTCACCTCACCTCTTGTGGAACTGGGGAGAGGTATAATTCCCAGGCAAGGAAGGTTCAAATTCTTCTCAGCCTTCCTAGCTCATTGACTCTGCCCCAGTTTCAGCCCTTCACTGGCTAAACTAGGTCCTCCCCCTGCTGCTTTCCCTCCAAGCTTTTTTTTTTTTCTTTTTCCTTTTTGGTACTGAGGATTGAACCCAGGGTCTTTGCACTAAGCTATATTCCCAGCCCTTCTTTATTTTTTTATTTTCACATACGGTCTCACAAAGTCACAGAAATTACCCAGACTGGACTAGAACTTGAGATCCTCCTCCTCAGCTTCCTAGAGTCCTGGGATTATAGTCATGTGCCACACCTGGTTTCTGACAGCTTGTGTTTCTATGCCTGCCTGGGCAGTGCTTATTTAATCTTTGTCTGTGCTTGGTGCTGGTACTCACATTGCACTCCACAACTGTGCCAGCTCCTGTTCCAAGTGTAGCCCACTGGACTTCTTAGCTCCTTTGCTCCTGACGAAGGCTCCCAGGCCCCTAAATGCCCACTCCACCCTTCCTCCTGGGGTCTGGCTGTCCTGATCCCCCGCAAAACTGGGACTGAAGCTCTTCCTAACCAATGGATCAAGAATTTGGTTTAGAAGTTGGTGGACCGGAGGTGATGGTGGTACTCCGTATACAGGCTCTACTAGTTCCTTTTTAAAAAGAAAAGAGGCCCTGGGATTTACTCAGTGGCACCGTGCTTGTCTCACAAGCGCAAGGTCCTGAGTTTGATCTCTGGTACCAAAAATAAATAAATAACCAAAATAAAAAAGATAAAAGAGCTAGTCACTACCCACTAAACTGATGCTGCGAACTGCAGTTGAAAAAACACGGTCATAGATGACAAAGCGGTTTCTGGGTGCGCTCGTGGAAGGTTTTCCGGCTGGCCGGGGATGCGGCCCCAGTTTGCTGGCACGCCCTTTAAAATAGGCATAGGCCCCACTTGCAGTTAAACTTCCTCTGAGCTAGCCTTAATACAGAACCACACCTGGGCACCCGCAGGAGCCGCTGATCAATTTGGGCAGGGCGCGGGTGGGGCTGCATGGAGCCCAAGTTGACAGCTCCGGGTACAAACTCTGGAGCCCCGAGGGGTGGGGTAGAGCGGTGAGGGCGTGGTCGGAAGTGAAGTCAGCGGAGCGCGAGGGTCGCGGCCCGCGCTAATTGGACGGGAGTGGGGTTGTGGGCGGGGCGGCGCTCCGCGGTCTCTACGCGCGGCCCCCAGGTGCTTCGGAGTTCAGTTCCTTTTGCTGTAGTCTAGTAGACCTCAAGGTGTACGCCAAGGGTTTACCCGTCCGCCGCTTCCCGCACAGCCGGTCCTGGTACGTGACGGCGGGACCGCCGGGCGGCAGGCTCTTGGAGAGGGGAGTGCGAGGACGGAGGGCCCGGAACTGGTGCAGGGTATGGGGAGGGAGTTTCGGGACCCGGACCCTCTTTTCCTTTGTAAAAGTCTCGCTCCCTCCTCCCGGAGGTCCCAAGGCTGAGGGAGGGGAGAGCAACCCGGGCCCGCGACCCTCACCAGCAGGGTACCTCCGCAGTATGGGTTCAGAGTTGCGTGCGGAACCGGGAAGAGCTCGGGACGAACGGGAAAGGTGCGGGATTCAGTGGCCGAAAAACAACATAATAGTAAAGAAAGCCAGTGCTGCTACACACCCCCACCCCCCACCCCCCAGTCTGCTTCTTCGGTCTTCCTTTCCCACTTTTACTCTGCTTCTATCGTTGCCAGCTGTTTGGTACCCCAAGGTTTGCTGTGTCCTGGTTCTGGTTTCCTTGGGTGTGGAGCGCGACGGTGGAACGTGGAGGGGTTCCTTCTCTAGGATTCAGTTGTTCCATCTGCGTAGGGGGGCGGGAGTTTCTGATGACCTCTTCGGGCCTCTCGCTGTCTAACTAGCAGCCATCCTCAACCCCCACCTCCTCCGGGGCAGGTGTTCTGGTAGATCAGTGGCCAGTTGTGATCTGAGGTGGCATATGCTAATTTATTTCATTATTTTTTTGGCATATGCTAATTTAGAAAGGGACAGGAAGGGCTGGGCATGTAGCTCAGTGGCAGAATGTTTGTGTAGCGTTCCAGAGACTCAGGGTTCAATCCTTATTACCAAGGAAAAAGAAAGAGCACTGAAGACAGAGCACTGGTCTGAGAGTCAAACACTTTTGGTTCAGCCTGGGAATAGCTGTGTGACTTTGGACAATTGTCTCACTTTTATATGCCATAATTTCCACATTCATAATATTGGGGTAGCAGTCATCTGATTGTAAAGCCTCCTCTGACCTCTTAATTAATGTTGCACCTGACAGATTCCTTCTCATCTTTCTGTGTTTTACAGTTTGTTGTCTTTCACCCCTACTAGGGACATAAATACCACGAGTGCAGGGATTTTTTCTGTTTGTTTGTTTATTTTGTTACGGGAGATCAAACTCGGGATCTTGTGCTTGCAAGACAGGCGGCAGAACCAACGAGCTAAATCCCCAGCCCGAGTGCAGGGATTTTTGCTTGTCTTTCTTATTGCTGTATTGTTGTTGGCTAGAATGTGTTAGGTACTCAATAACTGTGGGATGGCTGGGCGTTGTCTGAAATTCCAGAGGTCTGGAAGGCTGAAGCAGGAACATCTCAAAGTTCCAGCTCAGCCAGGGCATCTTAGCAACTTGGTGAGATCTTGGTTGAAAATAAAAAAGGACTGGGTATGTATCTCAGTGTAAAGAGCCTGGGTTCAATCCCCAGTACTGGGAAAACATTTTGTGGGGTTTTACCTGAATAGGAACAGGTTGCACATGTTACTTATGGTTCCAAAATGAGTAGGTAGCAGCCCTCTTACCCTAAGATGCTGTGCCTCTCTACTCCCCTGTTTCCCTTCTTCCTGAAGACAAACCAGGGAAGGAGGGAAACCACAGAAGTTTCATATCCCCTCTCACTGCCTTGACCTGACCTTGTAAGAGAATTGACCAGGCCCTCCTTCCCTGGGCACATTGCCTCACCTAGACCACTTCCCAACAGCAGGAAGGTGAGGAAGCTGAGGCTTAGAGAGGAAGTGTGATTTGCTCAGGGTCATGCAGGGCTCTAACCTAGACCCCCAGCCCCACTCCTGTGCTCCAAGCATCCCTGTGTTACTAACATTTGTCTTCTTTCCGCCATCCTACCATCCTATTGGTCTTTGTTGTGTGTCTGCTGGTCACAGCCCTGGACTAGGGGCTGGATCTTCAGGGCTTCCCAGAAGTGGGTTCTTGACATTTAGAGGCTGTGCCATGTCAAAGGACATTGGTGTTCACTGCATTCTATTTATATAACACCAACCTCTGGCCCTCAACCCTTTTCTTTTGTATTATGCCTCTAGTTCCAGGGTCTTGGATATGGTCCTTCTTCAGTTCCTGGGCTTCCTCTCTGTCCTGTTTCTGTCAGGAAGAGGGGCAACAGGCACCCGGAGGACCACCATGGACCCCAGCCTGGAGATTTGTATCTTTTGGGATTAGGGGTAGGGTTAATACAGTGTCTCTAAGGGGGTCAGTAAATGAGTTCTCTCAATACTTACTGCCCTGTAGGGGATTCCAGGAATAAGGAGACCCAGCTTACAGAAGAGGGCAGAGAGGCCAGACCTAGAGCAAGGCAATTCTCCTCTGAGCCTCTTTCTCCAAATATTAAGTGGAGAAGGCCGAGCACATCTCTCAAAGCTTCAAAGGCTCAGTGAGGACTGGACATAGTTCCAACACCTGTGTGTAAGACCTCAGGCAGAGATTTGGGAACACTGGATTACTGGCTCATCTTGATCCTGATGTACAGGACCACCTCCTCTGTGCCAGGCCTCAGGAATATAAAGATGAGTCAGGATCTACAGGGCTAGGGAAAGAAAGAGTTCAAACAGATGGTCATTGTACTCAGTGATCATTGCTCTCATGGATGTGGGAGGAGAGGGGCAAGCACTGTGCCAGCTCTTGAGAAAACAGAATCCACAGTGGTGCTGCTGCCTGCCTCGAAAGTGCAAGGTCCCAAGTTCAGTCTCTGGTACCAAAAAAAAAAAAAAGGGCCAGGGATTTGGCTCAGTGGTGCCCTTGCCTTCCTTGCAAGTACAAGATCCTGAGTTCGATCCCCAGTACCAAAAAAAAAAAAAAGAAAATAGAATCTAGAGAAGGGCACAGCATGAGCAGAGTGGTGGAGGTTCTAGAACAATGATTGTCAGAGATGGCGGGAAGATCATGTGAAAGGGAAAGCAGAAGCCAGGTCCTGGAGGGTTGGGCTCACCTATTGGTTGTGACGTCCTCAGAGAACTGGGTGGATGGAACATTGCTGGACCCATATACTTCTCAGTTTGTTCTCAGCCCATGGCTTCCAAACCATGGGTACTCATGGTTCCTTAGAGAATTTACTGCTCAGGAATGGGCCCTCTGGATCAGGGCCACTAGATGTCCAGACAGAGTTGTTGGTCCTACTCCCTTAACTCAACACTGCCCAGACAAGAAGATGTTTGAGGTGAGGCGGCGGGAGCAGCTGTCAGCACTGAAGAACTTGGCACAGCTGAATGATATCCACCAACAATACAAGATCCTTGATGTCATGCTCAAGGGGCTCTTTAAGGTGTGTGGGAGCAGGAGGCAGCTTGTTGCAAGCCCAGTCTTTGATCTGGGCACTAACAGATGAGTAAGAGTTCCCTAAAGGGATGGTGGTCAGTGAGGAGGGAGCTGCATGCACAAGCGTTGAACTGGGGTTCAAGTAAATGGGTCCAGAGCCAGGCTACAAGGGACTCTACAAAGCCACTGAGCTCATGTGGGGTCCCTTTAGGTGCTGGAGGACTCTCGGATAGTGCTCCTTGCTGCTGATGTGCTCCCAGATGGACCATTCCCCCAGGATGAAAAGCTGAAGGATGGTATGGTCTCCCAAACCTACCTTTTCTCCTTTTTCCCTTCCAACCTGGTCCCCTTTAGCTGTTCTTTCTTGTTCTTGTCACTCTTTTTAAACCCCAGAGGACCCTCTTATGACAGCTTCTAGGTGATCCTGTAAGGCAGATAACTGCTGAGTTTAAGAAGTATTTAAAATAAAATGGAAAGAATATTAAAAAAAAACAACCCACCTACAATCCTGATCTGTTCATTGGCCTTCCTAACAGAACTGACCCCTCACAGACACTGTAGTTATGTTAACACCAGGCACCATCTATGAATATACTGTACTGGGGAGTTGAGCTCAGGAAAGCCACATGAGGCATCAATCTCTATATACAAATCAACCTGCCTCTCTGGTGCCCACAGCAAATGCAGTCTTCTAGGCATTGAGCTATCTTTGGACAGACAGACCTGGCTTTGGATCCTATATTTGACACCAGCTGCTGAGCCTTCCTCTCTCTGATTGCATTTGGTGGGTGCCTTCATTCTCTGGAGGATGCTTGGGGCCAATCAGGTGGGCAGTGGGAAGAAAGGTAGCTATGCTGGCTACTCACTAATGTCCTTTTGCCAGCTTTCTCTCATGTGGTGGAGAACACGGCCTTCTTTGGGGATGTGGTGCTACGCTTCCCAAGGATTGTGCACCATTACTTTGACCACAACTCCAACTGGAACCTCCTCATCCGCTGGGGCATCAGCTTCTGTAACCAGACAGGCATCTTTGACCAGAGACCCCACTCACCCATCCTCAGCCTGGTAAGGACTGGGGCAGAAGAGGTTGACAGCCCTTGATTTTGTGGTGGACCAGGAGCCTCACATCTGCTTACATTTGGGCCCAAGTGCTTGAGTGTGTTTTCAGTGATGAGTCTCAGGGGACCTTCAGCCATGGAGATCCCATTTTAGCGGTTTCTGTGTTAACCTGGGTCCTGAGTCCCAGTATGGAGGGAATGGCTCTCTGGTGAGCAGGAGGCAGAGGCAGAGAATGACTAGCTTTTTTTCCTCTGCAGATGGCCCAGGAGCTGGGGATCAGTGAGAAAGACTCTGACTTCCAGAACCCATTTAAAATAGACCGCACAGAGGTGAGCTTCTGGAGCCTGTGTCTGTGTCTGTTGTGGGAGGCTGGGTGCACAGGGACTGGAGCCTAGGGTGGAACATCAGGACTTTGGAGCTGGAGCCAGATATTCCTAGGTCTGTGTCCAGAACTTGTCACTAGTTTACAGAGGAATGTCAGGTTTGTGAGTGGTCTGGGAGTTTTACTCCCAGAAGCAAGCTAGCCTGCTTCTGTTACAGGGATGCCGACAGGTCAGAAACAACAGACTTTAATATAGCAAAAGCAGTAGCCAGGCAGCAGGCCTTGTCTTTTTGGTGGTTCACCATCTTTCCCAAGGCGCATGAGGGTGACATTGAGGGGCCTAGGCAGAGGCTGTGCATGCAGTGGGTTTTTGTTTTGTTTGTTTCTTTTCCAGTGGGTTTGACTTATACCTGAGGAACACTAAACTTAGGAGATTCATCAGTTTTATACTGAATGGAAGCAAACCTGTTCCTTAAGAACTCATCCTTCAAGATTACTCTATAGACACAGTCCTGCAGAATGACCCAGATAGAGTGGTCAGAGCTTTGCATTCTTGGTGTATCAGGCAAGAATGTGCAGGGATGCTCAGGGCCATGGTGGACTGTCTCCCCCAACAGTCTACCCAGGATCTGCATATTTTGGTTTAACTCAAACTTTCACATAAATATACTATTCATTCTAGTTAATCTGACCGTTAGAGGTCATGATGAAATCCATTTAATGTGTTTCATAGGTTATTTATTAAGGCTACCACTGTTAACTGTATTCTGAATAGCAGGATGAGGTCAGTCTGCAGTATTGACCACAACCATGTCCTTCAGGGTCCCTGCCTCAGCCAGCTGTGAATAAGTTCTGGAGGAAACCCATGGGTCTCATTTTGAACAATTAGGATATGATCCAAGACCAATCTAATACCTATTACAACTCACATGAGAGAGTTTAGATTTACCTGCCAATCTTCAATCTTCCATGAATACTGTTATTAATAGTTACAGGGGGCAGTAGTTGGATCCAAAGCAATCCTTCCATGGCCCATTCTCTCTCACTTTGAATCATCAGTACATTGTTTGGTCAAACCCCAAGAGCAGTGTCTCAGTTTTAGCTTCGGTTGCCCTACTTGGCAGGCATCAGGAGAAGCAGATAAGTTTATCTGTCAGATTGAAACAGGTTGTGCTGTCCAGTGTGTCTGTACAGAGTCGCTTTCAGGAGCTACCTTTGATGGTATCAGGCTCAGGAGAAGAGTTTAGAACTGACAGCATCCATGTGAGTTTTCCCATCACATGGATGGGAGTGACATACCCAGCCCATCACCCACTTCACTTTTGGTATCCAACATGGATTTGTCCACCTGTAACAGCTGCAGGTTTGCTCAGCTCCTCTCATACATTGCCCTTTGTGCTGGGTGTGTCCTGGGAGTCCTCTCCTAGGCAGGGTTAGCAAAGAAACCCCTGGAAGGAGCGCTCAATGCAAAGAGAGCAGTTTCTCAGAGACCAATTGAGAAAGCATGGGAAGCAAAGAGTGACCCACCTGTTAGTTGCTTCTGCAAGGTTAAGGAAGACAAGAACAGAGATTCAATTGCTGGGTTTAGAATCAGCTGCGGGAAGCCATTGGTGGTTTTGATAGAAGTTTTTATTTATTTATTAATTCTTTTGGTATCGGGGATCGAATTTGGGACCTTGAGCTTGCGAGGCAGGCGGCAGAACCACTGAGCTAAATCCCCGACCCTGATAGAAGTTCTGTTGGACCGGTGGGAGGAAAAGATTGGGTTTCAGAAGAATGAGAGGAAAGTTTGTGGATGAGGCAAGTAGAGGCAACCTTTTTGAAGAATTTTGGTTTTGAGAAGAGCAGACGAATGACAATGCTGTAGGGGGCTCTGTTTTAAATTGTTGTCATAGAGGAGGGAGGACAGCAGGTTGGTGTGTGATGGAACTGTCCCATCAGGGAGGGAAGAACTGATGGTGTGGGGGCTGGAGAAGAGATGAGTTGTTGGAGCCCCTGACAAAGGAGAGGAGGGGTAAGAGCTGGTGCCAGGAGGGAAGAGAGTAGGAAAAGGGATGTCATGTTCCTCTTCTGACCCAGCTAAGTTTGGACTAAGCCAGAGGGGACTGGAGGGACCAGGATCTCTTGAGCTGACCTTCCTCAGTCAGAGCGAGTTTGGGGCCCTCTGTGACCTAAGGCATCTCCCAGCTCCCCTTCTTCGATCAGGATTCATTCAGAGGATTGGAGCAGAGTGTCATAGGGGGAGCAATGGGAGGGGGCGTGAGGGCTGCCAGATTAGTCCTTGGTCAGCCTCCCACTTGCTGCATGACTTGAGCGCATCACTTCCCTTCTCTGGACCACACTTTTGTGATTTCCCCCATCTTCTGGATGCGTGACTGTAGATTGCTCCACAAGGTGGAGCTCTTAGTTTGTTTTTAATCTCTATCTTGATCAAACATTTGTCATATTTGCCCTAAGAACATATAAAAGGGGTGTATTTCACAACCTGAGTGTTCAATACTATTGTATTTCATCTTCTAACAGGCTCATTCATGCATTTAAAAAGCACAAACTGAGTGCTGTTGAGAAGTAGGCAGACATTGTGCTAGGGACTTTGAGCATAGTGTGAGCAATGCCTAACACCATCCTCCTGTCCTTGTGGAACATGGTGTCTGGTGGGGTGACAGGCATGAAGTGGGTGATCACAAGGAAGAGGTGCGTGCTAAGAAGGAATCAGCACAAAGTTGAAGAAAAGCTGAGAGGAAGCATCCTGGGGGAGGTTCCACAGGCAGTGACAGCAGAGATGCAGCTAGTGTGACAAAGATGGCAGGGGCTAGGAAGAGCCTTGTGGGCCTAGGGTACAGCATGTGTAAAGGTCTGGAAGGGAGAAAGCACAGGGAATCTAAGAACCACAAGACAGGGAGTATTTGGGACAGTCTAGTAAAGGTATTAGGCATTTAGACATGGAGTTGCAGGTTTGAGGGGTAATTGACCAGAGCAGAAGCTATGGCTGAGGTAAGACTTCTGGAGAGTGTGGAGGGAGAAGAGCCAGGGGGCTACCTGGGATTGCAGCTGAAGATGCCTCGGCCAAAGTCCTATCCTCCTCCCACCCTGTATGCCGGGCACTCCTATCCCTTTCTCCCACTTGCTTGAGGTCTTCCAGTTTAGCCTCTGATCCACTTCTGTTCCTGTGTGGTCTCTCACCTAGAGCCTGCTCCTTGGCAAGCGGCAGCACCTGTTGTCTGCCTGTTATCTAGAACACTGGCCTCCTCCTGATGAAGGGTGTGACAGACAAGGGCCCCCAGGGCCACTCTGTCCCCTCTCTCTGGAGGAGTTTATTGTTTGTCACTTCACAGTTTGGGCCTCTGTCCATCTGCCTGGAGTGCCCTTCTGTTCCCTGTTTGCTTGGGAAACTTCTGCTTATCTCTCTAGACTCACTCGGCACTTGTCCCAAGCCTAGGTAACTGTCTCCAGGTCTGGAGCTGCCCGAGAGCAGGGCTGTGTCTAGGTAACCTTCCTGTCCCCACACCCCGTGACCTAGCTCAAAAGAGACTCTGCTATTGACTGAATTAAACCACTCTGCTCTTCTCCTCAGTTCATTCCCAGCACCGACCCTTTCCAGAAGGCTCTGAGAGAAGAAGAGAAACGCAGGAAGAAAGAGGAGAAGCGAAAAGAAATCCGCAAAGGCCCGAGGATTTCCCGGTCCCATTCTGAGTTGTAGCCCTGGAGCAGCTCAGGGACCAAGGGGCCAGCAAGAGGCCCAGGTGGGAGGAAGGCGTACCATGTGGCTCTGCTGTGGCAGCATCCAACATGGTGGTGAGCACTGGTCCCTTCCAGATAGGGACACCACATTTTCTGGGTCCTCAGGAGCCGGAGACTGAAGCTTAGGGCCTGGATTTCCTTCCAGAGCTTGTCTGGAGGGGTCACTGAAGGGACCTTTAGAAGACACCATGCTGCAGGCGGGACCCTACAGACTGCTAGGGGAGGAAGGAGGGCATCCTCAACCCTCTTGATGGGTTAGGGCCACTGGCTGGCTGCCACCGCCCTTTTGAAAAACAGCAGAACCAGGCTCTCAGTTACAGGTGATGGTGCCATGCCTACAGCTGGCCCCACTGTGTCACTGAGCTGCTCAGCAGCTCAGGTCCCAGCCTTTCTTCAGAAACGCAATAAAAGCCAGCAAACCCATTGGGCCCACCAAAGCTCATGAGGGGCTGTAAGGGAAGCAGGAGCCTCAGGGATGTCAAAAGAGCAGTTTAGAGGATGTTCCTGGCTTATCCAGAGGAGCCCAGGCCTTGGCTTGGATCTCCTCTTCCCTCTCAGCACTGCCCTTGACCAGGGATTGGCCTTGAGACAGCGCCTGGAAGTGTCCCAGCAGGGTGTTCAGTCATCCAAGGAGACCTTTGAGCAATGAGATCTCTGCCCTTAGATAGCTGGGGACAGTCACTGAGCATGCAGTGAGCAGTTACCTCTGGGAAGGCAGGAAGACCCTTGACCTGTGCGTGCAGGCTGCAGGAGGTGTACTCTGCATACTCTGTACGCTGCAATGGCAGGGCTGCCCTGAGCCAGTTTGGCCAGGCAGTGAGCTCCTTGTTTCAGGAGCAATTCAAGAGGAGTCCCCCAGCCCAGGGCAGAGAAGGTGCAGAAAGGGTTAAGGCCCAAGAGGGCAGCCTAGTTTCTGTGCCTCTGCCTTCACCCACCTTGAGAGGGTGGGTGCTCTTCAGTCCAGCCCTTCCTAAATAGAGGAGGGAGGGGCATCAGCAGGAATTCTACCTCTAGAATTGTCAAGCCAGGGTCTGCCTCTTAAAAAGACAGAGGCACACAACCATCCTCGGTCCCCTCCACACTCAGCCTCCTGCCCTGCTAATAGCCAATGAAACTTGAGCCTGTCAAAGTCCCCATCTCTTCCCTGTACCTGTAGCTTCAGTGGCAAAATAACTTGATGTCTGAACCCTCTGTCCAGCCCTAACCTGTTTTATCATGTGTGCCCCCACCCTTAGTACTGGGGACTGAACCCTGGGCCTTTGCCCTGAGCTACTTCTCCATCCGTTTTTATTTATTTTTTATTTTGAGACAGGGTCTCTTGCTAAGTTGCCCAAATAGGCTTGAACTTGCAACCCTCCTGCCTCAGACTCCCAGAGTGCTGGGATTACAGGTATGCCTGACTACCCTGCTTTCCCTGCTGGCCAGAACAGGAAAGAGAAGCCAGGCCTCAGGGAGACCTCATGGAAGGACCCAGAACATCTTGCACCCTATCATTCACTTGGGAGAAGTAAGGGGATGAGAAACAGCTGGAAGAGAACTGGGAGGAGGACTGTAGACAGTTTCCTGTCAGAACTGCCCACCAGGGCTGGGGATTTAGCTCTGTGGTTCTGGTGCCTGCCTCGAAAGCACAAGGTCCCAAGTTCGATCCCCAGTACCAAAAAAAACAAAACAGAACTGCCCACCAGCCACCTTGTTGTTGGACAAAGGAGGTGGTGCTGGGTGGTGGTAGGCTTCACTCAACAGACCTGGCCTCCATGCCTGGGACGTGTGCCTTCAGCCACTTGCGTGAGATTACAGGAGATGGCCATGCTTGTTTGTGAGCTAAAAGGCTATGGAAAGGGAGGGATCAGGACCCACCTATCAGCTGTTTAGGCTGTCCTGGTGCTTGCAGGTGAGACTGGCCAGCAGCCCTGAGGCTCCTCCCTGGCCCCTTCTGGCTGGAGAGTGGTTGTGGCTGCTGACTTTGCAGGAAAGGTGTTTTCTCCCTAAATGGAGAAAGAACTTTCTAAGAACCATACCTACTTTGCTGTGGAGCAGGGTTTCTTTGGACCAGTGGGAGGCTAAAGGATTCCTCAGGACAAGGCAGAGGGAGTTCCAGCTTCGGGTAGAGATCTTACTAAGTGACTTCTAGGGACTCTGTCATCAGCAGGACCTGCAGAGTGATGAAGGAGGCTCTTCTCTTGCTCTTGTCACCACAACAGTCCCTTGTCACTCAGATCCTTGGGTCCCCATCTCAGAGTACTCAGGTGCTTGAGACAGTAAGAGCCTGTAGAAAAGCCCCTTGGCGTCAGATGGTGCCTGGGATGTAAAAGACTTCTCAGTGACAGGCGCCCTTCTCTGATGGTTCTTTGTTCATCCCATAGATTTGCTGAGTACCCACTGTATGCAGGGCCTAAGAGAGGGGCTCAGTTTTGCCTGTCTTCAAGTGTTGGTGTCTTACTGAGCTTCGGGTCCAGGGCAGTGCCATTCTTCTGTTTCTCCTGATCCTTCAGTTTCGCTCAGGCTACCTGGCCAGGCACCAGGGCCTCTGGGCAAGTCTGCTGGGAGCCAGGGAACAGCTGCAGAGTGGGAAGCCCGGTGACCGGTTCCTTGGTGTCCTGGTTCTCAAGGTAGCCCCAGGTCTAGTGAGGGCACTTGATCAAAATGATCTGTTTAGGGATCCTGCCAGAGGGGCAGACAGACAGCAACCACCAGTGTGGGGAGCTCTGGCAGAGCCACTGAGAGCCATAGATGATGGCACTGTCCAGCTCTGTGCTAGGTCTGGAGCAGGGCAGCTGAGTTCAGGTGTGATTTCTTTCTTAGGGTAAACAACAAAGAGAGCATTCTTGTTTGCTTTTTCCTCAAAGTAAGACAATATATTTCTCAGTGGCATACATGTTCATCATAAAATAATTCAGACAATAACAAAGTACCAGGAAGAAAGCACACTCTACCCCATATGCCACCATTCCCATGGGCACAACTGACAGCCAGCTGTTAGGCCTTCCTTAGTTTTGTCCACATTGTGTATCCGCAGACTATACCACAGGAAATTCCTTCCTTATAATTCTAGATTTCATTTTTAAATGCCACTTCACAAGGTTTGAACTCAGGGTCTTGCACATGCTAGGCAAACTCTCCACCACTGAGCTACACCTGCAGCCAGAGTCTTGACTTCACATGAGGTCCCATTACTTTTCCTTCTTAGGTACTCGAACTATCATCTGTTATTTGTATGTTGGTTTATTGCTGCCCCCCACCCCGCTCTTAGAAGGCAAGAATTGTTTACCTGCCACAGATGTCCAATAAATATTGTCAAACCAACATGCATATGATCTCATGTAATCTTCACAACTACGAAGAGTACTATTTTTTTTTTTTTTTTGGTACTGAGGATCGAACTCAGGTCCTTGTGCTTGCACAGCAGGCAGTGAAACCACTGAGCTAAATCCCTGGCCCTGAAGAGTACTATTTTATCTCTATTTCACTTTATTTTGAGACAGGGTCTCACTGTGTAACCCAAGCTGGCCTCAAACTCTATGATCCTCTTGTTCAGCCTCCAGAATATTGGGATTACAGGTACACACCAGCACACCCAGCTTTCTCCATTTTAGAGAACAAAATAGAGGCTAAGAACAGTTACTTAAGGAGCTCAAGGCCACACAGTAACTTTAAATAGATGTGCTTTAAATCCTAGCTGACCCCTGAGCAACATTTGCCAGACTCACAGGAAACTTACTTTTTTTGGTAGGGAGAAGGAAGTGATACTGGGGACAATTTAGGATCTTCACACTAGTTGCAGCCTTAGTCCTTTTTAAAAAACTTTTGAGACAAGGTCTTGTTAAGTAGCTAAATTGCCCAGGCTGGATTCGAATTTGTGATTCTCCTGCCTCTGCCTCCCAAAGTTCTGGGATTACAGGCAACATTTGCCTTTTGTTCATGCAATGAAAGTCCTTTCTTGTCATTTATGCCCCCCCCTTTTGGTTTGTTTCTAAGGTTGGAACCTAGGGCCTTGCACACACTAAACAAGCGCTGTGCCACTGAGCTATACCCCTAGCCCTATGTGTATATTTTTTTTCCTTTTTGAGACAGGGTCTCACTATGTAGCCCAGGTTGGCCACGAACTCGCAGCAATCCTTCTGCCTCAGCCTACCGAGTGCTGGGATTACAGGCGTGTGCCACCATGCCTGGCTCCTATGTGTATAATTTTTTCTCCGTAGTGGGGATCAAACTTACAACCCTGTACTTGCAAGGCAGCCGGGGCACCACTGAGCTAAATCCCCAGCCCTATTGTGTGTAATCCTTTTTGTTATATTATTATTGTGTATAATTCTTAATCGCATGGTGTTTCATCTCGTGAATGCAGTTTGTCAGTGCTTTACTGGACTTTTCTATTTTTCTATTACAGAGCACCTTACGATGAATGTCTTTGAACATACGTATTTCCGCATTTATTTGACCAGTCCTTTTATTTCTTAGGATAGATTCTTGGAAGTTTGCACCTTTGCACAACGTGACCAGCTGCAAGATGCCTGAGTGAGGCTCCTGAAGAAGTGAGAATCCGTGCGTGGAACGGGCGGCAGAATCCCCGCGGAACTTTTTCAAAGCACTGGGTGCTTGCAAATGTTTAAAAGCCCCCAGTGGTGCTGAGGTTCCCGGGACTGAGGTCCAATGGTGCAGGCGCGTGGTCGCGGCAGGTGCAAAGGCGCCTAAGTTGTGAAATGTTCGTGGCCCTGTCGGACTCCATTTCTGCCTTTTTAAGAGAGCTGGAAGAAGCGTGACTTAGTCTCCATAGTGTTGGGGGCTAAATCTGACTATCCACTTTAACAGGCGGGCAGGGCGGGAGGTGGGGGAGAGGCAGCTGAGAAGATGACGTAATGTGCCCACACCTAGTCCCAGGGGCGGCCGGCGGTCCCTGAGGAATGGCGGCATATTAACTCTTCAATCCCAAACTGGTGGACGGAGTCATTTCCGGAGTAGATCGATCGCAAAAGGGAGCGTCTCCTTTAAATTAAGCGTAGGAGGCTGGGCTGAAGACCCAGCGGCTATTCGCCTCATTCGCTCTGAGGCCGCGATAGGCGGAGCTTCTCTATGCAAATCTGAGCTGCTGATCGATGACGCGCAATCACCCCACGCGCCGCTTCGCACTCCGATTGGCTAAAACGAGCCTGGTCCCATTGACAACAAACAAGGGGACGCGCGGGCTAGGACAGGGGAATCCCGCCCCGCCCCTTCCGCGCGGCGCCGGGGCGCAGCGCAAACATGGCGGCTACTGGCACGGGCCGGTGAGGCGGTACCGGGCAGGGGCTGTTGGGTGTCGGGTGTCATGGGTGGTGGCGGCGGCACCGCCCCCGTGTCTCCCTGAGCGGGACGGCAGGAGACCTCTGCGCCGAGCCGGGAGATGGATGAGAGCGGTGAGCTGGGCGGCCTGGAGACCATGGAGACCCTCACAGAGCTGGGCGATGAGCTGACCCTGGGGGACATAGACGGTGAGTGGTGGGTGGGTGGTAGTGCAGGGGGCGCGCGGGAAGGAAGGGGTTACGGCGGCGCGCGCTAGTGCGCGTGCGCCCACCCCGCTACACCTAAGGCTCGCGCGGGAAGAACCCTGTGCGCCCGGCCACCCCGGCGATCCCCAGCCCTTACAGCGCGACGGCCGAGAGGCCCGGGCGTTGGGCTCCGGGAGGCTGTGGCATCGGGCACAGCTGGGACGGAAGCGGAGCGCGGAGCCAAGGGCGGCGTAGGTAGCGGCCTCGGAGGAGAGCGCGCGATCGCTCCCTCCCTCGCGCGCCCACACGCGCTGCCCGCGGCCCGGCTCCCTCGCGGTCTCGCATCTGCCACTCCCTGCCCGACCACAGGAGCGGCTTCGGAATTTCTCCGCTGGGCCCCTAGGCTGGGCGTCCCCACCCTGGTCCTCTCAGGATTGATAGACGACCGGGTGATCAGGCGCTACGGGAAACTTTGGGCAGCAGCTGCAGGAGCAAGTTGCTGATGAAGTGAGCAGTGGCGGCGGAGCGTGGACGCGTCTCTCGGGATGGAGACCCGGGCGCTCCTGCCGTCACACTGGAAAGAGTTGAGCAGTAGGAATTTTGAGTAGTGGCCCCTTGGGCTACAAGCTGGGGAGCAGGTGGCCTTTGTTCCCTCGCCTTTAACAGCGGAGTGGAAGAGGATCCTTTCTTGCAATGCTTTTCATTTTTTGGCCCCAGGAATCAAGGTTTGGAAAGGGTCTGCCTGGCCCAAGGTTGCCACACTGGTTGCAGAGCCCTGTTCCTCATCAGTATGTTTCTTTCCATCCTACCTTTGAGGATTCTGAGTCCAGTGAATCTTAATAATAATTAGTAAACGTAATAACTTGTAATAATTAAGTTCTTCTGATGTTATAGGCCCCAAATACTTTGCATTATTTTGCTTATGCCTCACAACAATCCTGTGAGATAGGTATTTTTACTACTCCCATTTTACAGGAGATGATGTCTTAGGTCACTCACCTTAGTCCAGAACCCATGCTCTTAAGCAATAACATTGTGCTTTTCAGTTTACAAAGTGCTTTTACATCCAGGCTCTCGCTGCAGTCTGGCAGGCAGATGGGATGACTAACACCCTCGTTTTGAAGGTGGAGAAATAGGCAGCAGAAGATTCTCTTTTGGAGAAAGAGATAGTGGCAGCAGCTATTTGAAGGAGGTGTTTGGCATTTTACCATTTTATTTTTGTAACATTTACCCCCTTTGTTTGGCCTTACCACTTTGGTCATCCAGACAGTGTACCAAGACACTTAATTGAAGCCCCACTTCTGACCACAGCCTTCCACTATTAAGTCCTCCAAAGTATAAAGATGGGTTAACAAATCCGGGGGAGGAGGGACCTTGGAACATAACAGAGGAAGCTAATATGTTTTGATCATTCCTGTGCCAGACATCGTGTTGAACACCTGTACATTTTGTTGGGGGTTGGGGAGACGGACTGGGAATTGAACCCAGGGCACATCTCCAGCTCTTTTTTTATTTTTTGAAACAAGGTCTTGCTGAGTTACTGGGCTTGAACTTGCAGTCCTCCTGTCTCAGCCTCCCAGAGTGCTGGGATTATAGATAAGAGCCACCACACCCAGTTCATCTATGCATAGTGATACACTCAATCTTCATAAGAATCCTATCAGGTAAACATGACTGTTACACTAGTCATCTTCCTCTCACAGATTTTGATTTTTTTTCTTTTCTTTTTTTTTTTTTTTTTTTGGTACCAGGCATTACTCGGGACTTTGCACTTGCCAGGCAGGCAGCGGCACCACGGAGCTAAATCCCTGGCCCAGATTTTGATTTGTTTTTTTTTTTTGAGACAGGGTCTTGCTTGCTATGCAGTTCAGGCTGGCCTTGAACTCACTGTGTAACCTAGGCTGGTCTTTTAACTTGCAGCAAGCCTCCTACCTCAGCCTCCCAGGTGCTGGGATTGCAGGCATTTGCCACTACATCTGGCTTCCACAAATTTTGAAACAGAAGTCTATTGCTGTTCACTAACTTAACCAGGATTACATAGCCAGTAAGAATGTCTAAAGCAAGGGCACAAAAATTCGAGTGCATTTTGTACTTTTATTCCATGATTGATTCTTATTTGTCTTAATTTATGTTAGTTTACCATATGGTTAATACTAATTTTGTCCCCATAGATGGTTAGATAAAATGTACAGTCTTGAAACTACCACAGTGGTTCAGTGGCTTCACAGGTCTTGATACCAGGGTTGGGAAGTGTTCCTGTCTTCAGCTGGTCAACTAGAGCCAAGCGCCAGCAATCCCAGCACTCTGGGAGGCTGAAGCTGGAGGTTAACAAGTTCTAGCCTTGCCTTGGCAGCTGAGCCAAGATCCTGTCAAAATGTAAAAAGGGATGGGGATGTGGCTCAGTTGGAAGGCCCTGGGTTCGATACCTAGTACTGAAGAAAAAAAAGAAAGAAAAAGTAGCTAGCAAGTATTCAGGTACTGGCTATGGTGTGTGAGTCTTACGGAGGCATGAGAAAATAGGGAGATGGGATTTTAGGGCCATAAGAATTTGACGTGAGTAACAAACCATAGTGCTGAATATATGAGTTTAGAGTTGCACAGCACAGTTAGTGAAAGACATTGGTGAGAGGGCAGTGGTCTGTAGATACAAGTATCCCTTGACACTCTCCCATCTATTCTTCCAGAATGTTAGTACAGTGAGGCAGGGACCTTCCTTTTGCACCTAAAACAGTGCCTGACACAATGAGAGTGGTTACTGTTTGTGGAATGCTTAAACGAATACAGTGACCTTGGCTGAATACAGTGACCTTGGCTGCGCAGGATGTCAAATTGTACCAG